CATAGCCAATCTCGTAATCCATATTCCGTTCCAGTTGTCATTACCAATTAATGTAGCACTCAGTTAAATGCCTTCTCAAATAGCCATGTCTTTAGGCTCTTGCGGAAAGATATAAGGGAGGGCGCCTGTCTGATGTCAACAGGGAGGGTGTTCCACAGCCGGGGGGGCACCACCGAGAAGGCCCTCTCTCTCGTCCCCACCAGACATGCCTGTGAAGCAGGCGGGATCGAGAGAAGGGCCTCCCCAGACGATCTCAAGGCCCTCGTGGGCTCATAGGCCAAGATGCGGTCCGAAAGGTATTTTGGGCCGGAACCGTTTAGGTTCCGTTTAAGACTGCAGCTTAATTTGATAGATTTAAATGCCAAGTCAAAACCCAAGTGAGTTAAAAAAAAGATGCAGTAAGAATTACTAGGATAATCAGTGAACCTTGAATGGACCTAAATAAGAACCACAAGCCAGTACAGAAACACTATCAGATATATTCATTTTGTGTCAAAAGCATTGCATAAGTAAGTATAAAACTGATAAAATATAGGGAGCACAAGTGGCTAAATAATTTTGGACCAAAAACGGGCAACAGCAACCAAATTATCTGTAGCTTTAAACAATTCTTCCTCTGTGCACGAGGCAGGGCATTGTGGGCAAGGATATAGATGTGGAGTTGTTTGTTCTGCTCCACAGTCGCACAAGGTGGAGGATTCTTCTAGGTAGCACCATTTTGCAAGGTTATCTTTTGATCTGCCCACTCCACTTCTGAGTCTGTTCAGGGACTTTCAAATTTTACCATCAGATGCATTCCTTTACCATCAGATGGGAACATATGACTCCACACATGCTGTTCAACTGCATCTTCCATCAACTCCTTGACATCAAAGACAGAACAACAGAAACTACAATAGAACAATGTCTGAAGGGCCACATGTCTGCCATCACAGAGCTGTATGAATCACTTCAATGTATTAACTTGTTCCAGTGACTACTAGTGAGAAACAGAACCACAGAGGATAGCACAAGATGGTTCTCCAGTTGAAAGGGATTTGTGCCAGTAACTATCTGTGGTCAATTAATTTGATTCCCACTGTAGAAACTGTTCAAACATTATATAGTATTTTCTAAAGATTTTGAACAGAAAGCTAATGAACAGTTCTTTGTAGCTATGTCTCTTATTGCACTTCTTACCTACATTAACAAGATGTTGATGATATAACTAGAAATCAATCACAGCCCATTGGTGATGGTTTGCACACCATCACAGTGGTGTAGCAAAGTCAGGGCTCACAGTGTCAGGTTCCAGGATATTTAGATTTGAAGGGACAATTACACCATTTGATAACCTCTTTGGTCTACCCTGTATTCTATGGTCTTAACTGCTGTTCTCACAATAAAAGTGGATGGGCGTGTTTTCTCTGCAATAACATATTTTGTGGACCCATCCATGCTATAATAAACCATGTTTTGAAACTGCCTAGTTCTGAGTGGACTATTAAGACACATTATATTGATAAAATCCTTCCTCTGGAGGAAATGAAAATGATTAGATCTGGTTTGTCATAATGGATTGAAACAGCTGTGTAGATTTTGAGGGCATGATTATGGCCACTGCTATGCTGGGTCCCTGCATTTCAACGTATGTGCATATACCTCTATAATATACATTAACAGGTCTCCAGTTATAATTCCCTGCCCAGTTCAGGTGCCAATTTTGCCGCTCTCCTTCCTAGCTTTAAGTATTGTGTTCCTGGAATCTTCACTTTAGTTTTTTAAGGGAAAGAAATAATTCAGAGCCATGTATTTTTGTTAACACTGCCTTCATTAACTAAAGGCTCTACTCGAAAAGGACAAATGTCTCTGCCTCACTCATCCCAGAATACATTGAAGGGCTGTACTCCAAATAGACAACAATGCTGAAAAACATTTCATTGTTTTACCAGGGGTCATGGATGGTTTTCCCATGTTTTTGCCCCCTCTGGGCAAATTTGGATATACAAGATGCACTTTTCCCCTGCTTTACTTTCTTGGGAGCTCCCAGTGGAGCAATGGGTTAAACCCTTTTGCCTGCAGGATTACTGACCGACAGGTTGATGGCTCAAATCCAGGGAGCGGGATGAGCTCCCATCTCAGATCTAGCTTCCCATGCGGGGAAATGAGAGAAATCTTCCACAGGATGGTAAAACATCAAACACCTGGGCACCCTCTGGGCAACATCCTTGCAGACCACCAATTCTCTCACACAAGAGCCCTATCAAACTACAGCTTCTTGATTCACTGAAGAATTAAGTCTGGAATGAGGAAGCTAAGCTCCAACAGATGTTATGTATTTAACTCCCCTGATCACTGTTTATATAGCCTAGGAAGGGGGAGTTGAATCCAGCATGGGAAGAGCCAATATTTTCTCACTAATGATTTGAACACACTGTCAATGCATTGCACATTTTTGGGGTATGGTCAATCGCTTTAAAAAAATCTGGATTAATGTTGTATGTCTTCAAGTCATTTCCAATATACAGAGATCCTAAGGCAAACCTATCAAGGGGTTTTCTGAGACTGAGAGTGTGTGACTTCCTCAAGTCACCCAGGGCCCTTCCATACCATCATATAACCCAGAATATCAAGGCAGAAAATCCCACATTATCTGCTTTGAACTGGGTTATCTGAGTCCACACTCCCATGTATGCAGGTTCAAAGCAGGTAATGTGGTATTTTATTTAGCTGTGTGCGAGGGGCCCCAGTGGATCTCCATGGCTGAGCAGGGAACTGAATCTTGAACAATACAAATTATAATTTGAGTACTCGGTTATATTGTTACAGCTCACTGATATTTACTATTCTATAGTTTCAACTTTTGAAGTACCAGTAAGATATTCAAACAGTTCTCAAAAGTTGACACTACGAAACACTAAATACCAATGAGGTGTAACATTATAACCAAGTACCATATTATAACATGCTTTAAGGTTATATTATCAAAATATTAATATTACTACTACCATTCCTCAGTTGTTTTCAAATTGTTTTATTGTATTATAACTTTTTGTTTGTTTCATCTGTCCTCTTTTAACCTATTCTTAACCTGTATCTATTCCTAATCTTATTGGAGCCACAATAACGAAATAAAACTTCTCTCACTTATCATCTTTCTCTAGAAGACTTTTAACCCATTCATAGAACCATAGAATAATAGAGTTGGAAGAGACTACGTGGGCCAACCCTCTGCCATGGAGAAAAAGTGCAAAGTACAGAAAAAGAAAAAGCACAGAGCCCTTCCCCCAGCACCAATGGCCACTCTGGGGCCAGAGTAAAGAAGGGAGCCAAGAAGACAGTTCCATCTTGTCTCCTCTGACATCAGAGCCCTTCCTCAGTGATAATATTATATAATACTAATATTATGAATGATGTATTAGTACTATGCTAGTGATATAGTATGTTGTATGTACATATGACTTGTAAGCTGCTCTGCGTCCCCTTTGGGGTGAGAAGGGTGGCATATAAATGTTGTAAACAAACAAACAAACAAACAAATAAATAAAGTATCCCTGACAGATGGCCATCCGGTCTCTGTTGAAAAGCTTCCAAGGAAGGAGCTTCTACCACACTCCAAGGCAGCGAGTTTCATTGCTGTATAACTATTGCAGCCAGGAAATTCTTCCTAATATTCAGGTGAAATCTCCTTTCCTGTAATGTGAACCCATTGCTCCGAGTCTTAGTTTCCAGGGAAGCAGAAAACAAGCCTGCCCTCTCTTCATTGTGGCACCCCTTCACATATCTAGACATGGCTATCATGTTTTCTCTCAACCTTCTCTTCTGCAGGCTAAACATACCCAGCTACTTAAGATGCTTCTCCAGACCCTTGATCATTTTCATTGTCCTCCTCTGGATACTTTCCAGCTTGTCAATATCTCTTTTGAACTGTGGTGCCCAGAACTGGACACAGTATTCCAGGTTAGATCTAACCAAAAAAAGCACCCTAAAGCTTCTAAGTTATCCAGCATTGGCTACTGTTTTACATGTCTCAAAGATTAAGAGACTTTGTTTCATTTGCAACCTGAAAGATTAGGAAGGAACCTAGAATTCCCCTGAGGGGTCTTTTCTAGGCTTGTGCATTTGTATAGAATTGCTATCCGTTTCTGTTTGTTTCATCTGTAAGTCCCCTGTTTTCATTTTTGCACGCCTCCCAAAAATGGGTGCCTTTCCAAATGGGTGCTTTTGTTCCGCCAATGGGACAATTTTCAATTCATTTGACACTATGGGCAGGCTTCCCCTCCAGCCCCACTATTTCACTTCTTCTTTTACTCGCAGCAATAGGGCGGACTTCCCCTCCCCTTCCCATCATTTTTGTCAATTTCATGGTTTGTCCATAAATCTTTCATTGTGATCTGGATTAAAAGTCTCAGAGGTACTCCAGTGATGCTTTCTCCTCGGTGTGCAGAGATGACCTGGGTTTAAAAACAAGGTTTAAAATACCACTATTTATGTTATGTTTTCCCCTCTGTCTGCAGAAAAGAACTGGATTTAATGTGATGTTTTCCCCTCTGTCTGCAGAAGAGAACTGGGTTTAAAGACAAAGCTTAAGATACCACTCCTTCTGTGATGCTTCCCTCTCTGGAGACGAGCAGCGGCGAGTGAGGTGAGGCAGGCAGCAGGTGAGATGAAAGGCGTTCTTCTCCTCTGATTGGCTCAACAGGCAGGGCTCAGAGGAAAATAGCACTTGCAAGACATGTGAGGAGCACCAAGTAGCCCAAAAAGCAGGTAAGAAAATGGTACCCACTCTCGCTTGCCTTTATGTCAAGCTTATTTTTGTTCTGGAGGAAGGGTTCCCATTTCATGCTCTCGAATGAAATGAAAGGAATGAAAGAATGGATGCAACAGGAGAAATGGGTACCACACACACATCTAGTCTTTTCCCCATTTGCTGAGACAATGATCTTACCCACAGCTGGATTCTGAAACTAACAAAAGTTAAGCTGGTATAAAAATAAACTTTGAGATCTTTGGAGGGAATAGTCTGAGAAGCAAAATTAAATATCACTGCTGTTCAATTATTTTTCCTGCACACACATTATGCTGAGATAATGTTAGGTGTTTTCTCAGCTTTCGAGGTAAAGCTATTCCTGTTAAACAAAAACAAATTCCTGACCTTTACCACGTAGGAGGTTTCAATTTGTCTCCAAAACAGTCCCCTTGAAGTATTTATCTCTGGCTTTTAAAACAAATAGTCAAAGGTCTTACCTAAAGCTTCGGTAAGGTGTAATTATTTCAAATGACTGTTTTGCTGCCCGGTCTATCTGTTTCACATTAGCCACATTCATGGGGATTATAGTGATGCCATATCCAGCCTTAAAGTCCTGGAGAACGGAAGAAAAGAGCAGATGAGTTTTATCGTTTTTTAAACAGTCATATACATCTCTATTTTTAATGATATTTACAAGCAATGGTTATCTACTAAAGGTGGCATGAAAGTAGTAGTTATGGTAATGTTTGTACTGCAGAATATTTAATGCAAACATTTTGTGGACTATGATATTAATGTCCTTCAAGATCAATGAACAGCAATTTTAATAAAATGCATTTCTCTAGCATTTTTTTCCTTAGAGTTTAAAGCTGTTCACAAAAAAAATATTAAGTCAGCAATTCTTACAATCTGCAACATAGACCTTAGTATAATTATTATAAACCAGGGACTCAGGCTAAAGTCAAGAGAAAGATAAATAGCTTAAGGGCATGCTGCAAAATCCCAACTAAGTTGGGATTTGAACTTTCTATCTCCGAGATCATACACTTAAGCTGAAAGTATGTACACAGACAAATGCTGACCAAGCTCCCCAAAATGAAGTTGAATAGGCAAATTCCCAGAGCTTATGCTTGTGACATAAACAGCCTTGGGGTGGGAAAGAATGCTCTTCCTATATGCTCTCTCCACTACCCATCTCTGTAGAGTATCACGGAAAGTAATAGAAGGAAGGAATGACGGACGACTCTGTTGTTGATAAAAGAAAATCTTTCATACTACACATTTATATCACTTCAATCCTGTTAACTATCTTAGTAGAATTCTACAGATTCCTGTGGTTTGTAGTTTGGGAGGTATTTATACTGGAACATTGGATTTGAAAATCAGTTTCTTATTGCTAATACTACACATTGGAACATTTAATATTAATAACTGAAACTGATTGCTTTGTTGGACTAACATTGAATTAGCTCAGTGTTATAAATAACATTAATATTTTAAATGTTACTCTTTAAAAATCAAGGTGGGTTGACACAGTATAGTGTGGAGGCTATCATCACTGAACCCTAGGAAAACATGTTGGTCTTGGCTCCTTGAAAAGTGATGAGTTTTTGTTGTTTCAAAGTTGCTTCATCCCAAACTTTTTTCCCCCCAGAGGGATTAAAATGTCCATCATGCAATTACAAAGTGGAGATGGCAGGAGTCTGACACATCTGGAAGCTGTCCAGCTGGCAAAGGCTGTCCCAAACAAGGCTGAACATCTCTTATCCTAAATTTCAAAATCTGAAATATTCCAAACTGAACTAATCTGCGGCCTTCCAATTATCTAAGAGGCCCGATACTAAATTTGAAACAGGGTAAATATGGTTAATTGATGTCTAATCACTCATTTATTTACTTATCCAATGGTAATATATTTCTTTGGTCTTAAAGGACTTGAGCACACACCATTCAGGAAAGCTGAATAGACTTGAGGTTCTTTAACAATGCACAGTTACATCACTAGGATTCCATCTTAGCTACTATGAGTCCATCCTATAAAATACTAGGATCTACAATTTAGGTATTAGCATTTAGAATTCACAGCCAGATAATTGAATTGCTTAACCAAACTGGGTAGTGTGAAAGGGTCCCAAGTCTCAGCATCATACCATAAGATTCATAGTTTAAGGTTCTCTCAGTTTAACTATTATCATACAATACAATGTTTTACATAATACATAATTATATATATATATATATATATATATATATATATATATATATTCATTTCCATTCCATTTGTTAGTGCCTCCATTCATTATTTTTGATTGCTCATTCTTCCATTGTCTTGTCTGGATTGCTAGACTTCATCCACTTTTATGATTCTAATAATTCTCCTCCTTTGCCTTCAACTACTCCACATTTTTCTTCACTCAATGGATTTCTACCTGATGTATCTCCTCTGCTACAGACACAACAATTTCTCTGGAGATGTCATGGTGACTTATTAATCCATTCCTATCAGGTGCATGGGTGTGGAATGGGCACTATAATCAACTGTCAGCTTGGGCTTGGGAGCACATTATGTAGCAATGATATATATGTTAGGAGGCAGAGTAAACAGAAGTAATATATATGCCTGGCAAAACTATAAAGTATGAAGAATGTTGTCAGGATATCTGAGTGTAATCTGGGCCACTGGTGATGGCTTATATCACATGCACAAGACAAGATAGAGAAAAATAGAGAGATATAAGAGAACTAAATAAATTAGCTGGAGATTACTAGAAGATATCCAATTCTCAGAGGAATTGATCCTCAAATGTATCCTCATATATAGTATCATTCTTCTCTTCTATGCTTGGCACACTATAACATGGATGGTCACACATCTTTCTCACCTTACATTTCATTATTAAGGTCAACTCTGCATTGGGTACAGTGAAGTAGAACCGTCAGTTCTATTTGTCCTAATCCACTAAATTGGCCTTGAGTATGTAAAGAATGCCAAACCACCACTAGTTACCACATCACACTAGAGCATGAATCCACTTTAAATCCAGTTTCTGCCTCCTGCAGAATTCTGGGGTTTGTAGTTAGGCTAAGCAGTATAAAAGATCCTCCCTAAAATACAAACCCCAGAATCCTGCAGAAGGCAGAAACCAGATTTAAAGTGGATCTGTGCTCTAGTGTGATGAGGTCATAGCACTGAATTAAGATTCAACTGATATTCCAATCAGCTTCTGTTTGAAATATAGAGGAAAATGAGCCACCTTGTCATTGATTTGGGCAGCAAATACCTTACAGAGAGCACCCAGAGAGTCATTTTAGAAAATTAAGTGGATCTTCAACTCCTATGTCAAATCTGGATGAAGAATGTGAAGCTCACTGTTAGTCCCAATTAAAATTTGCACTTGTTGTATGTCTTCAAGTTGTTTCCAGTTTCTGGCACCCCTAAAGCAAACCTCCCACAGGGTTTTCCGGGGCTGCAAATGTGTCACTCAAGGTCACCCTATGAGTTTGCACGGCCAAACAAGGAATTGATTTGTAGACTCCAGAGTAGTAGTCCAATGCTTAAACAGATTTGCTGGTATGTTCACTAATTAGCAAGAAACAGAACTGAACATCAACTAACTGTCAGGATTCCAGCCAATATTTGGTAAGTATCTGCTCGTCATTGCTATCTTGCTGTCAGCAAAGAGAAAATTACTTCCAACTCAGAACAAAAAAACCCAGAGTTTTGTTTCATACCTGTGCTATGTCCCCATACATTATTTACCAGAAGCAGACTGCAAGTCGCTTCTGGTGACTTGCAGTATGAGCCCTGCCACATGCCCAATGGAGGGCATTCTTACAGCAAAAATTGCATTCAAAGCACCCCCGACAGATGGCCATCCAGCCTCTGTTAAAAAGCCTCCAAAGAAGGAGCCTCCACCACACTCCAGGGGAGAGAGTTCCACTGCTGAACAGCTCTCACAATCAAGAAGTTCATCCTAATGTTTAGATGGAATCTCCTTTCTTGTACTTTGAAGCCATTGTTCCACATCCTAGTCTCCAGGGCAGGAGAAAACAAGTTTGCTCCCTCCTCCCTATGACTTACTCTCACATATTTATACATGGCTATCATGTCTTCAGGCTAAACATTCCCAACTCTTTAAGCCGCTCCTCATAGGGCTTGTTATCTAGACCCTTGATCATTTTAGTTGCCCTCCTCTGGACACATTCCAGCTTATCGACATCTCCCTTGAATTGTGGTGCCCAGAATTTGACACAATATTCCAGGTCTGGTTTAACCAAGGAAGAATAGAGGGGTAGCATGACTTCCCTGGATCTAGACACTATACTCCTATTGATGCAGGCCAAAATCCCATTGGCTTTTTTTGCCACCGTATCACAATGTTGGCTCATGTTTAACTTGTTGTCCACGAGTACTCCAAGATCTTTTTCACACGTACTGCTCTAGAACCATGCGTCCCCGATTCTGTATCTTTGCATTTCATTTTTTCTGCCTAGGTGGACTATCTTGTATTTTTCACTGTTGAACTTCATTTTATTTTTGGCCCATCTCTCTAATCTGTTAAGATTGTTTTGAATTCTGCTCCTGTCTTCTGGAGTATTGACTATCCCTCCCAATTTGGTGTCATCTGCAAACTTGATGATCAGGCCTTCTAACCTTTCATCTAAGTCATTAATAAAGATGTTGAACAGGACCGGGCCCAGGACAGAACCCCACAGCACTCTGCTCATCACTTCTTTCCAGGATGAAAAGGAAGCAGTGGTGAGCACCCCTCCGGGTTTGTCCATTTAACCACTTAGAGATCCACCTAACTGTAGTTTTGCCTAGCCCACATTGGACTACTTTGTTTGCCAGAAGATCATGGGGGACCTTGTTGAAGGCCTTACTGAAATCCAGGTACGCTACATCCACGGCATTCCCCGCATCTACCCAGCTTGTAACTCTATCAAAAAAGATGCATTTCTGTAACATGGGGAGCTGGCGGGTTGCACATTTAAGCTTAATGTAGAGATGTCACAATGTGCAATACACTCCCACCCCAAGGATCTCCCAACATAGCAGACTATACCACAATATTGTAGCTGAAAAACCAGAAAACTTGACAAAATCAATTAATGTAAAAAGAAATCAACCCAGGAGTAATGAAACAACAGCTTGTGCATGTAATGTGTGTAGATTGAAACCATATGATTCAAGGTTATTGTAAAAGAATCATAATGACAGTTTTGTTAAAGAAAAATGTTTTTATTGTCATGCCCACTATAGTGATTTTTAAAAGTAGAAAATAATACATTTTCTGCACAAACAAATTGTGGGTAGTCATTTTAGTATCATCCTCTCCAATGTTGTCACCTAGTGTTGTTAGCTTGTGCAGTGTTTCATGTTACTCCTCCATGTTCTGTTCTGGTATTCAGGTGATGATGCTATGAATGGAAGAGGAGCCTGCTTTGTAGTATTTTTATTTCCAAGCCGGCAACATGAGCCAACATTGTGATACGGTGGCAAAAAAAAGCCAATGGGATTTTGGCCTGCATCAATAGGAGTATAGTGTCTAGATCCAGGGAAGTTCCATCAGAACTAAAAAGCTCAAAGTGAGCCTTAGGGAGTGGCTCACTTTGAGCTTTTTACTGACCTGCCCTCCCACCCATTAACAGTATAATATATTGGTCGTCTATTGTGGCAGGGTAGGAATTTTTTTCCCCTATGATCTGGCTTTTTTGTTTTTTGCCTACCCTATACTGTTTGCAAGGGTGAATTGTGAGCTGGGGGCTATAAATAGGCCACCCCACAGAAATCGGCCATAGGTTTACATTTGGTGTACACCTAAGGCACCCCCTTTGTGGTGTGGGCCAGGAATAAAATCCTTACCTTAGTTTACATAACCAGGGTGAGGGCGAACAGAAATGACCTTGAAATGGAGAGAGTTCTGGATCAGTAAAAAAAAATGGACTTGGGGCAGATTTCTTTGTACATTTTCCTGAGTAATACATGTACTTTTACAATTGTAACTGTAACTAGCTAACATGGAGGATTTAGAATTACAGATGCCAAGGATTTAATAACAAGAGAAAAGTTATATTGCAATTCTACTCAACCATAATCATATGAAAATAATATCAGTGTAGGTTCTTGTGCAATTGTTTCTAGTTTTTGTAGCCATTTTAGGAATGCTAATAAAAGTCAGGGTACATTTTTATTACATGAATTAAAATATCAGCCTGGTTCTGCTATAAGAAAGAGATATTCCATTGTCATTATTTGATTATATATAATATGTAAATCAGCAGTGGATAACCCCTGACTTGTCAGAAGTTTTAAATTACTATTTCCAGTAGCTCCATCCAATAAGGGGCTGTGAAAACCATAACCTGAAACATAAGGATGGCTTAGGGCTCCCCACTGCAATGTAAATACACATGTAAGTATTTTATACTGTGGCTATACACCTTATTTCTTCATAGTGTCAACCTGTACATTTGTTTACTATACAACCAGAGCAGCTATGAGAGGTATCAGCCAGTATGGCAACATTCGCTTTCATCTTATCTGGTGACTACAGCTGCTCCCCAAGGACAAAAAAGGTAGATGTGCCTTATCTAAGAATTAGACAGATTGAAGGGGAAGGGGGGAACAAGGTAGAAACTGAAATGTTTGTGACATATAAATTGAGAAAGTAGGGTTTTTTTTATTTTTAAAAGTCTTGTTTGATATGGCAAACAAGAACCATTTTATTTTACTTACATATTATGCAATAGAAAGAAACATATAACTCCTCTTCAAGTGAAAAATTTTGTGTTTATATCAAGCTAAAACAATACAAATTACATTCATTTCAGTTCCAGGTTGTATCATGAAAGGATGTGGGAAAGTCAAAAGAGGTGTATGAGAGTATTTCTGCAAGACACTGTAAACCTTAAATATTAACTTTCTTACTGGTGCACAACTTGCAGCCCTCCCAATGTTCTTGAACCATAACTCTCACACCATGCTTCATAATTGTCCATGCTGCTAGGGCTGATGGGAGTTACAGTCCAACAACATCTGGAGGGCCACCTGTTCCACATTTCAGATCAATAAACCCCCAACCAGAACATTAAATTTTAAGGAAACACATTGTAAGAAATTTTAAGGAAACACATTGTCCTCCAGAAACAACAGAGGAAATGAATGTGTTAAACTTGTTGAAATATACAATAAAGAACTATTATAGCTACATGTAAGTCTAAGTAACAATGTCATTATAGATACTTGATTTGGTTTTCCCAGTTTTCAAGGACACAAGGTAACTGAATACAAGGTAAATATCACAAGTAAGAGAAAGATCTGAAAATCAAGAGGTACACTTGACAATTCAAAGATCAAGTCATCTTAAAAGCATCATGTAAGTGTTGAGCAGGGAATAATAACAGCAGTCCAATTAGATACACACACAATAGGTACAATGGGCTGCAACAATAAGAGAATACCCGTTTGAACAAGGAAAGTATGGTTCCATCAGAAATTGGGTTTGTTGTTGTTTTTTGGAAGACCAAGAGCTTAAAACCATGATAATTGAAGAATTTTACATTCTAGTGAATGATAGACACCAGCAATTAATTGTGGCCACATCCAGTCCTCACCCCCATTCTTTTATATTTAGATTTTGAAAGTGTCAGTATCACTGCCTGGCATTTACTTAACAAGTCAGTGATAATGAAAAGATAACAGAATCAACCACACATGAAAACAGTCATTCCCTCCCCTCCCATGGCATTCACACCACAGGATACTACTTATACTAATTATTTAGAACTACTTCAGCCAGGACCCTTGATTATGATTTCTTGGGATACTTTTGGCAGAAGAAAGGAAATAAACTTCCTGAAGTTCCTGAAGAACTTTAATGGAGTGTGTCTTGGTACAGCCTCACTTAATATAACTAGGCTGAGGCCTCAGTTCCATTCAGTCATTACAATATTTACTTCAGTCTCTCTCGCTCTCTAAAATCAGGACAGGAATCCAAGGTCCAAAGGCATAATTCCAGCCCACAGAAATCTCTGGCAATTCCCATCTTTTCCAAAGCATTACCCCATGAAGTACCAAGATATATGCAGGGTTAGGGCACAGGGGAGAGGGAGGGAGAAAACACTGAAGTGGAGAAATGTGAGTTTTCCCCAAATTTTCTTGTAGTCCTGTTTTTCTGGAAATATCATTCAAATTTGGGATTCTTCCTATTCTACCATCTACTATTGATGCATACAGATGTGTCACAAAAGTAACTTTATGTGCCATGTTTTTGAAGATTGTCATCATTGAACATCAACATTTGGTCAATAAAAAATCAACCTACCACCTTCCCCACTGTTAGATAAAAAGGAAAACAACATTTGGAGAAGTACTGAAGTTCACATGTACAATCTAAACCTATATGTAGCTCATCGCTGCTATTTCCGAGGTTGGCAGGACCCTGGGAAGCACTGTACTCTTTTAAGCTCATGCTCAGCAGCCAAGCGGAGAATTTGATATTTCCATATTGCTATTTTTGTTACAATGCCTTGCAGAAACATTCACAGCCACCTTTTGGCCTTTCAACATATTGTTGTGTTACAAACAAGAACTGAAATGTGTTTAACTGCCATTCATATGACTTGATGTACACAAGACATTCAACAAGTGAGCTGGTGGGTGCATTTGATTTGGCAAACTTCAGCTTTCCAACTATTCACTGAATCAGGATATAACTATTGGCTTTTGGATTTTTAAACTGTATTGTTACATTTTCATGGATGTGCTTCCATTTTCAATTACACTTCTCAATTTGTCCTTATATACTGTCTATTTTGAGCACTATTTGTAAGTGGAATCTTTGGTATTAAACAACAGTCCATGGAAAGTTCATACAGATTTAAAAGTGTGCATACACATTTATATACGTAGCAGAATCCAACTTGCCTTCCAAAAATGAAGGTTGTTTACTTAGATGGAGATGATTTATTTTATAAAGAAAGTAAAGGAACTACTGCGTGCAAAACAGAAAGGAGTCATAACTAGTATTTTTAAAAAAAGCAAATTGGCACTTTCTACTCTCCAGCAGGAAGTTGTAAATACAGGTCGTTTCAAAGATAATAGTGAAAGTAAGTAACCAGACATACTAAGAACAGGTTGAGAGTGATTATGGTTGCGCCACATGAGAAACTGCTCATATGGCAATTAGAGAAAGAGAGAGAATATTTGAAAGTCCATTTAGCTGATCTACATGTCTCTAAATGGTGGTGTGACGTTAGCGAGAAAATGTTCCTTATTTCATTTTTAAACAAAAGGACAAAAATCAAAAGTTGGCAGCTCACTGGAGATTATTATTAGATGTTTTGCACATTTTAAAATAACTATTCTAATTTCATGTATTTGCAGTCTATTTTTGTACAAAATTAAGCTTTGCTATTGTTGCTGTGGGTATCTCTATGTGATTGGGTCCATGGGGATTATTTTTTTCTTCTGATCTAGATTAATCTTACCCTATATGAACTGCATTTTTTATTTTGCATTGGCTGCACTATTTATCCAGGATCTTAAGCAGATGTCTTTTCCAGTATCTCTGCATAATAACTCTTCAACTGCAGCATAGAGATGAACTAATTAGTTCATTTCATGCTTCTTTATGTTGTCTAGAAACACTACAGAACAGGTTTGAAGGTGTTATAGGGGCCTAAACCACCCCCAGCAAAACAAAGTTCTGGCATGCTGACATGTATCCACTAGAATGATGTATTGCCTCAGAAAATTGATAGAAATGCAAAAAGAAAAGGATGAATGTTTTCTGTTTTGCACAGAGTTTGGGGAAGGATGGATTCACACAGGGTCATGTAGAATCTCTTCTTGATCCCTACTAGAAATACTTGGGATTGAGCATTGGACTTCACAAACAATACATATGCTCAACCACACAGCTGTGCCCTGCCTTTTACAGTAAACCTTAAGGTATACACATGTTACAGCATTATCGAATTGCCAATTTCATTTAAACTCTTGCTTGTACCATCACTCCACAAGATTGATACGTTCTTATAATTTCATACACCAAAACAAAAGGATTATTCAAGGTCACCAATTTAAAAATCCACAGTCAAAGCCAATATTTTACTATAACAACAACCAAATCGGTTTTAAAGTAAGGTTAAAACTAATGGATTTGTTTCAGCATGAACGTTAAGAGACAATAATCCACTTCTTCTCTCCAAATCAAATTTTCTCATAAGTAACATAATTATCACCTGTTCGTTTTTGCAGATCCATACATTATTTCCTTGCAACAAGGTAAATATTTTCGTTTTGTAGCCTTTCAGATCCAAATATCCACTTTTATCAGGAGAGACAGTGGTCCGCACTCGAGAGATGTCAGGTTGTGACTTCAAAGCATTAAGTATTGTACTGATCCAGTCATTTCTTTCATCTTAAAAAAGGAAAACATAGTATCACAAAAAAGCAAATGTACATTGACACACAATTTGTTGATGAGATTTTACTGTTGAATTCTAATTGATTTTTTTAAATTATTTTCAGTTTCATCATTAATGTTCCAAATTATGTGTGGAAAGGCATGACATAATTCTGTTTTATAATGCTTATTGTTTAATTTTTGTTTACTCATGCTTTGGCTTATTTTGTTTTGACTTACATTTATCTGATGTGTTATTATTTTGTTTATTTTCTATTTCCTATGTATTTTAATAGTATTTTTATCCATGTTGTAAGTCGCCTTGAGTCCTTTTGGGGAGATGGGGTGGCGTATAAATAATAATAATAATAATAATAATAATAATAATAATAATAATAATAATAATAATAATAATTGTTATTATTGGAAATCATAGACTCATTGAGTTGGAAAAGACCATGGGGGTCACCCAGTCAAATCCTCTGCCTATACAGAAATCCAAAGAAGCCCCAGGAGGTGACTGTCCACCTCTGTTTAAAAATCTTTTTTTAAGTGAGAGAATCACCACTTTCCAAATGAGTCTCTTTTCAGAAATCATTTTATTACTCTTTTATTCTTCAAGCTAAACTTGTCAATTTCTTTAAACTGTTCTTATAGTGCTGGGTTTCCAGATCCCTTGATGTACTGAGTTACCTTCTATCCATATCCCAGACTGTCAGTGTCTTTCTTAAGCTGTGATGCCCTGGATTTGACCAAGTATTCCAAATGAGCCATGAAAAAGCTGAATTACAATGGTGCTATTAGTGCCATTAATATGAACACTATAGAACTGCAATGATGTCCACGTTGCTGCATCACAGTGTTGTCTTGTGTTTGTTTTACAGTTTATTAAGACACATTGAAATGTAGGTGTCAGAGTCTATATTTCAATGTCAAATTTACCTGCCTAAAAGCAATATCTTATATTTTTATATACCTTATATTTATCCTTGTTGAAATTCACCTTATCGGTATTGATTCAGTTCTCAAATCTGTTATGGGAATTCTGAATCTTCATTCTGTCATCTGAGATATTAACTACCCTTCCCAATTTGATGTCAACCATACATTTCTACTATTTCATCCAAGTTATTTATGGAGCATCTAAACATCACTAGTCAGACACCCCTTGGACCCAACTTCTTTCCTAATATTGGATGATCCGTATTAGATTTGGTCTATGAACCAGATACAAATCTACATAGCAATAGTATCCCCCATTTTACTGGCTTGTCTGGAGGAATACCAGGGACAGAGGCAATCAACCCTTATAGAAATCCAGATATATTACATTCACAGAACTCCTCTTATCAATAAAGTTTGTACCTGTCTTTTAAAAAGTAAAGTTTAGTCTGGTATAACATAAGAAATTCAAATTGGCTTTTCACAATTCCATCTTTTTAATGCTTAATTAACTGTTCTGAAACATTTAAAGTTATTGACATCGAGCTGACCAGTTGTTAGCTGCCTTTTTATCATCTTTTGAATATAGGGACAACGTCTGTCTTCTTCTTAACCAAAAATGTTCACCAAACATTCTGAAAGATCACAGAAGTTCTGAGATTGTGTCTGAAAGCTCCTTGAGTATCCTTGGGCACATTTAATGTGGCTCCAGAGACCTGAATTCATTTTAAATGGCTAGATGTTCCTGTAGATGTTCTTACTTCATTTCAGCTGCTGTACCCTCACTACATCATTCATTCTATTTTTAACAAGGGTGAGCACAGCTTTTCATTTGGAAGAAGACAGAAGCAAAGTAGGTATTGAGCAGTTCAATCTGTCACCCATTAGCATGATACTACACAGCAGACACATCACTTTCTCTTATTCAAAACATAAGCCCAGTCCTTTTTATTGTTATTATCTTTAACCTCCCTTTCAGGTCTGAGATCTAGGTTTTTAACCTTCTCTCTAGAAAAATGGGCTGTTCATTTATATTCTTCCTTCATGATTTGCCCCTTCCATTTTTATACATTTCAGGGAATCTGAAAGCTCCTTATTTATTCACCCTGGTTTCTTCAGAATCTCTCACTTTTCTTTTTCATTTGGAATTTTTGCAGTTTTGGCTTCAGTATTTCATTTCAAAGAAACTGCCACCTATCATGAACTCCCTTATATTTAAAATCTTTGGCCATAAGATCTCACACAGTATTTTCTGAAGTATGTTCAAATCAGCTTTCTTAAAGTTCGGATTATATGATATATCCAACTATGCTTTGGCCCCTCTCCCACTATGTAACAAACTCCTATCTATGAAACTCATTACTTCCATCCCAATGAACTGTTTGTTCTTTTCCATTGGTTAGAATGAGATTCAGTGAAGTTCCTGTATTCCTTGATAGTGGATTCAAATCCTTGATGGACACCACCAGTTTCACCTCCATTAATACAACTACAATTTGAATTGTCTTGTCTGAAATTCTGTCTTCCCATGGAAGCAATAATAAGTTTAAAGTCTTCTTTATCAGATTTGTCACACTCTTATCAAAACTGCTTCTACCAACCAATACCAGGTAAAAGCAATCTTTTGCCAGAAGTCTTTGTTTATGCTGAACATGATCCAAGAAAAAAAATCTAAGTGATATTTTCTGTTCACTTTCAGTTTCTCTCTCTTCTTAGAATAGGCCAGGTAAAGCTGCCCCTTGTGTGTTTTAGGGCCCCCTTTCTACACTGCCCTATATCCCAGGATCTGATCCCAGATTATATGCTTTAAATTGGATTATATAAAACTCCACTACCAGATAATCTGGGATAAGAAGATAATCTGGTCTCATATCCTGGGATGTTGGGGCAGTGTGGAAGGGACTCATGGGAGTGGGGTGAATAGAAGGCATGATTCTCCAAGGGTCTGGAGAGAAGCAATCTGCCCCTCTCCCACATTGTCTGTCGCTAATCCCTGATTTACAGAAACACACCAAAATAAGTAATGTAAGAAGGCACATTCTTATTGACCCCCCCCCCCCCACGCCCAAAAGAAACCATTCTTGCTGCCTCTGTTAAAAGGCAATATTTTATACTTCCTCCTTTAGCATGAGGGAAACCAGAAGATGAGTTGGGCTTTATAGGATATTTGAATACACTGCTTTCCAAAAACAGCTATTAGTTGACTAATGCAGCTGCAGTAAGATAATGGTAGGAGAAGTTTGGGGTGTCCCCTGGGCAACGTCTTTGTAGATGGCTGATTCTCTTACACCAGAAGTGACCAGAAGCGACTTGCAGCATGCAACCAAAAAAACCAACCATGTAAAATGAGCATTTTGACAAAGAAGGAAGAATATCCTCATGTCAAAAAAGAGGGGGAATATTCAGAGCTGAGAATCCCTCGCAAATCTAAAGAATCTGAGAAGAGAGGTAGTACCATGTTAAACTTGAATATAGTATCTATGTAGTGTATATACTCTTGAATAAATCTGGAAATTTTAGTCAACAAATCAGCCAAAAATACTGTTTTGACTTATTTATAGGTCAATGTAAGTACTGTATCTTTACTCATATATATATAGAGAGAGCAACCACCCCCTTCTCAGAATAGAAATAGTGAAAGGTGAGAGATTAGTCTGTCCTAGGAGAACCTGAGAGAAGTACAGACTCACCTCAACTCTAGCTCCTTTAAGCTGCTTCTGGCCTTTTTAAATGTCTGGGTGGCAAAATAGTGGTAGCGGCAGCCTGGTGCAGCTGGCCCCCTGAGATAGCATATATATTTTCCCCTCTCCATGGAATAACTCTTTATTTATGCATTGGTTATATCACAATTCATAATCCCCCCTCCAAAAAAAAATCCTGCCATCAGTGTACACATGAGATTGACTTATACAAGTATAAATGGTACATTCAATACACAATACGTGTTGCTTGTGGGTCTCCCATTACTAGCTTATCTGTTTCAAGTCTGACTTAACAACACGACAGAAAATACTCCATAAGAACCTTTGGACATTAGTTCCATCATGAGATGTATTTACTAGTTTCTTTAAATGAGTTTACATGCACATTATTTCAAGGCCAAAGAAAACTTCTGAAGTCCTATGAACTTCACTGCTGGCAGGAGAACTGTAAAGAGGTGAACCACTGAAATGCTTCAAACCTGCTTCCCCTGTTAATATTCCCTGGCCAAATGATTTCTCCCATCTGCCATACATACATAATTCAAACGGTACACAATCATCTTCCTTATTGATTCTGCATCACACAGTCTAAAAGGTTAATAAATGAACAGAAGAGCAATCATCGTGTGCTCCTTTTTTGTGCAACATCCAGCTAAAATGGCTGGAAACTCTGTAAAAAATGAAAATATATTGTCTGTGTGTATGTGTGGTACAGACTCCTATATATCACAAGGGAAACCTAAATCAAATTTTCTTCGATCTTCACACTGAAGTCATCAACTTGGCACTGCTCTATGTCAGCTTTACACTGAGCACAATTATGAGTGGATGGACAAAACCATGGCTTTTAAATAGTGTTAATAAGTGCTAAAGAAGGTCCACAGAAACCCCAATTTATAGCATTTCATTATAATCCTTGTGAATATTGGTTTTTCCCTGTTTCCTGACTGTCACCTAGATCTTCTACAAACTGCTAAGCTCTCAGATATTTCCCCCAGAAAACCCAAACTATTAGCTTTCTCTCTACCTTGATTTATTTCACAGAGGCATTTATGACTTTTATAAATTTGATCTTTCACAGCAGCTCTTTTCCCTCCCACTGTTGTCCTTTGAAATGCAATTTTGACATACTATTAGTTTTGATTAGCTTTCAGTGACAGTTCTGCATTCATATGCTTTTTTTAGCCACCTTCAATATTTTTTCTGAAAAGACAGAAGTACTGAAAGATACATAAATACACATTGCGTGATATTGCTACATTACATTTTATTGGTGGCCATTTGCAGGGCATGGCTAACTCACATGTTTTATCATAATGTGAAATGTGTGGTCTTACAAATATTGCTGGATTGCAGCTCCCATGATCTTTCACATTGGCATAATTGACTGTATCTCTCTCCATGAACCATCTTGGGCCCTCCGTTCTTCTGGAAAGGTCCTTCTTTCGCCCCTGCCAGTCTCACAGACTCATCTGGTGAGTACAAGGGAGAGAGCTTTTTCCTTTGTGGCTCCCCGACTCTGGAACTCACTTCCTGGAGAGATTAGGCAAACCCCTACCCTAGAAACCTTTAAAAAGAACCTCAAAACCTAGCTCTTCTGCTGCGCATTTGATGAATAGATTTACCTCCTCATACTAGTGGTTACTTTCAATGATTTCTGTTATTGGGGTGCATTCCCCACTATAGGAAAGCTTTGCTCCACGACCTCCACTAAAATGAGCTCTCCTCCACAAATAATCTGTCCCTGTTTATCTTGTGTTTATCTCGCCTGAGTTTTTAATCTGTTTTTGCCCAGTTTTCTTTTATCCATTACATGTAGCTTGCCCATGTTATTGTTATTGTGTTTATTGTAATTTTATATCGCTATGTTGTCTTTTGTTTTATGTAACTGCATTATTATTGTTTATTATTTGCATTTTCGGTTTTGTTTTATTTTATGTAATTGTTGTTTTGGGCTTGGCCTCATGTAAGCCACACTGAGTCCCCATCAGGGAGATGGTGCAGGGTACAAATAAAGATTATTATTATTATTATTATTATTATTATTATTATTATTATTATTATTATTATTTATTGCTACATGTAGCTGGAGCTGAGATTTTCAGTCCAACAAACTCCAGAAAAAAACAAACTCTTAATTTCTGCTGTAAATCAATAATGTTGTGTTCTACAGAAGTTGCTGGAGTTTCAGGTTTCTGATTCCCAATATATAGTTTATACTATCAGAGATCAGAGAAAGGAGTTGACCCTTATCAGTGGCTTTACTATATATATTCACCCCTAACCCTAACCCTTTGGGTCCAAAATTATGTATTTTGATATGGTCCATAAATAAGTCAAGGGTCACTCCGCAGAAAAGGGAAATTCACCAGTGCCTCTAAAGCCCTTGTTGAAATGTTGGTGACTGATCTATAGGATTTAAATCCATGGATACGTTCCTCTATATCCATGGATTTAACCAACTACAGCTTGAAAATATTCCTCCCCCTCACACGCACATAAATGCAAACCTTGATTTTGCCATTTTATATAAGAGAGACAATTTTATTGCATTGTTGTATTTAATGAGACTTCAGCATCCATGGATTTCAGTATCCACTGGAATCCTAGAAACAACCAAGAGACACTTGTGCTGTCAGCCTAAGGGAACTCCTTCAAATATCACAGATTAAGAAACATGGGGTCCTCTAAACAACAATAAACTATAAAATTCTTATATATAAAGTTCTGACATTGCATATTAGGAATAAGGCAAGCTACTGTGGGGGCCGAGGGGAAAATGTATGACAAATTGCCTGCATTTTTTTCTTAAGCACAGAAAACTCAATACAGCAGAACCTCTTGCGGCCTGTGATCAGTACAGGAATAAACATTAGTTGCATGGTGTGCATCTTGAACATGTTACTAAGGGAACCCACGAACAGATTTCCTTTTCAACTTTGTTGTGGATATAAAGCTGCATTTTATTCCTTGAACTGGAAGCCAGACTTGCACAGCTTCTTAAGAAACAGCATCCACAGCATCTGTGCAACTTGAAATCCTTGAACTGAAAAAAAATGTATCAAGCGGCCACAGCTAACAATAGTCTCTGAAAACATTTGTGACTTACCTTCCTTTTCAGCCCGGAAGACAAATATCCTCTGTGCGGTAACAACTTCAAATTTGTTGTCGCCATGGCTTCTAACTGTAGACATAGCAGAGAGGAGGATTATTCCCTTGGAGTACACCTCCTGCAGCAAACACAACAGAAAAAGCCCATAAAGGCAAGGGTTACTGAAGGCTCATGACAAAGTGGGCCTTTAATAATGATGCTGGCCATGTGTAAAGCATGGTCCTCAGTCACAAAAGAAAGAATATTTGCAGGACAGGACTACCATTAGGCAGACTGCAGCGGCTCCCCCATTCAAGGGTTTTTAAGTATCATAAAAAAAGTTATACATTCTTTGATATTTAATTTCTCATAGCTACATTTGTCTTCCAAGGGAAGAAACATGCAACTTGAGAGCTTTTCTACTTAAAATGCCAAAATAAAATGTCTGGCTTCAGCTACAATGTACCTTGGAGTGCATTTGAGACCAACTCTGACTGTGTAATAAACAGAATGGGTTGCTTTTGTCTCATCTGACTTTTTGGCTCAAATTCCCAATAGGAAGCAAACAAAAAAAAGATAAGGGAAAATGTGCTAAATGATCCCAGGGATGGTGGAGTGGGGTAAGCAGCTGACAATTTCAACCAGTGCTCTTACTTTTTCACTTTTTAAAAAGTTGTTTATGTTTTCAAAAATATGTTTTTAAAGGTTCTAGAACTGTTGATAGTGATCTGGAAATGACCAGAGCTTAGCAATTTTGCTGCTGCTGTTTAAGTCATCACCAACTTTAATACAGTAGAAGAAAAATAAAGCAAGAATGAACCATTTAATAATAAGGGAAGCATTATTCAAGGAACATAGAGTAATTTTCAGCCCCTCCCAACACTCAAAGGGGTGTTTCCATGTTGTTTTTCTTTTCTTCATTTTGGGAAACACATGGTTTAGAGCAGTGGTTCCCAACCTTTTTTTGACCAGGGACCACTTGACCAGGGACCACTTTGACCAGAGACCACACTCCAACATTAGTACCAAAAGGGTTACAAATTGGGTTTTGGTTTGGTTATTTGGGGTGCTGATTCAGAAAATTGCATTGGATAGACCACATCAGCTCAGAACATATGCCATTCAGTAGTCACCATCTGCTTGCCAACAGAAAACCATATTTAATCATCTGAGACATTGCCTTTTGTGAGCTGCGTTCTCGCTCCTATGTATCCTGCTCTCCTAGCTTCCTGTCCATACATTATGTTGGGCCTTTTCATGCATCTAAGGAACTTGACAGTAGCTAAATATCGCTGCCTATTTTCCAAAGCTAGGTGCAATATGCTCCCATCTGAATTGCTGTGTGGGAGATTTGCAGGTACCCCATACAATGAAAGACTCATGAAACAAACAGGAAGTAGAATGCATCTACCACATTCTACTGTCATGCAGTTTCTATGAATAGGCCCAAGCCGACATAATCAACCCCTATTAAGGAATTTACCAGCAAGTTCAGTGAAACTTTATGTGAAGTTTCTACTTAGTGACAACCTTCCCTACATGTCCTTGGCAGTTGCCAAGTTTCTTTCCAAGGCAGCCAGGATTAGACAATTCCCAATTTTAGACACAGGCTGAAAGTCTTGTACCTATGTTTTTAGCCAACTTGGGTTTTAAGCAATTTTTAACTTGTTAATTTTACCCATCTGTGTGTCCAAGCAACTGGTTGTTCTTAACTCTCATTGCCTGTATACCTTGACGCTGAAACACGGTGGCACTTATTGTAGCTTTTTAACCTGGTTTTAGCCAACGTGTATTTTAAGCAGCTTTTACCATTTGCAAATTTTATCCACTGGATGTTCTTACTCTCATTACCTGTATAACTTGTAGCGTGCCAAGAGGAAGGCGCGTCAAGCCAACCCCAACCGAGACCGCCTTCCACCTGGAAACCAATGCCCTCYCTGTGGGAGAAGATGCAGAGCAAGAATASGGCTCCACAGCCACATACGGACCCACAAGAATACTGGAAGACAATCATCCTCYGAAAATGAGGGATTGCCTAAGTATAACTTGTATGCTACAGTGTAATAAGGATCTCTAGACCATAATAAAATTTATCTATCTATCTAGAGCTGATATGGTAGTAGTAATCTTTCATGGGTAGTCAGCATCTCCRCTCTCGACATCCCCATTTTGCGAGACCAGCTGCTCTCATTACCGTGTGGTTTTGAGGCAACGGTGTAATAATAGTGAGGTCATGGGCCATATTTTAATTCTTGGGGACCAGTGGTGAGCCATGGACCACAGATTGGGAACCACTGGTTTAGAGYATGTCTATCTGTTGTTCTGGGGTAGTTCCTTCCAAAGTAGCTCCAATATGGAAAATAGATTTAGTGAAAAAAGACGAGTTTCAMGATTTGGGGATATGTTTGAGTTGTTTGTTCATTTGTTGAATTTATTTCCCACTTTTTTAATTAATAAGGCAGATGGCCCAAAGGCCACATGGGATCTTCTCAGGGCCACATAATTCCCATTCCTGTTTCAACATGATGAAAAGAAAGAGCAAGTTCTACACAATGGTATTATATCTCCTTTTAAAACATAGATTGCCACACCCAATGAACCACTAAAGCAGATATGGCACCCCCATTCTCTATTGGGATCTACTGTTTTCTGCTCTTAACAAAAACAAGAATGTGTGTTCATTGAAGGGGGGCTTAACATTACAATCCATCCCATCTCTTTTTTCCCATTGCCAGACCCACCATCTCCAAGGCAGATTCATTGTACATGCTTCAAAATGCCAGAGTTGGAAGAATTATGTTTAAGTTGTACAGAGGAAGAGAATAACTAAAGTCAGCTATGGAAAAATGCAATAAAATGACTTTCTTTTCTTTGGGTGGATGTGTTTGTGCAATTGTACAAACAATCCTGACTATAAGCAGCATGAACTCAGCATTTTGTATCAGCAAGAATGGGCAGCAGGAGTCTGTGAGAAAAATAGAAAAGAGAAAGAGAAGGAATGTGTGAACATATGTACATATATACTTATATACATGCATATGTTCAAACATTCTTAAACTCCTTATGTTTTGTTATTTCTCAGGGGAAGATGGGTTGCTGCACTTGAAGCATCATTCTATCACACTGGTCTAGCAGAAATTCTAAAGATCCTGTTAGCTCTTTCTGGAAATGATGTCCTGGTTTCTACAGGCATCTACTGACCAGATCTGGTACTACAACTGCATTACAGTCACAACGAAATATCCAGAAGGCAAAAGGATATAGATATTATCAGATGGGTTACATATTGTTTAGAATTCTGTGGTCTCTCCTTTCCCCTCATTGCATTCCTCTTTATTTAGAGAAATGTAATAAAGGTCAAAGTTTCCCCTGACATTAAGTCTAGTCGTGTCCAACTCTGGGGGGTGGTGCTCATCTCCATTTCTAGGCTGAAGAGCCAGCATTGTCCATACATACCTCCAAGGTCATGTGGCCAGCATGACTAAATGAAATGCTGTTACCTTCCCACAGAAGCAGTACCTATTGAACTACTCACATTTGTATGTTTTCGAACTGCTAAGTTGGCAGAAGCTGGGCCTAATAGTGGGAACTCACCCCACTCCCTGGATTCAAAATTAGAGAAATGTATCTTGTTAAAATAAATAGAATTGCTATTGCTGTTGTTGTTTTACAAAACTAATTAATCTTTAATGATAGAAGTCATATGGATTTCACTTTCAAGTTACTAAGCATTTTAATTTTAATTTATATAAAATAATGATCAAATGTGTTTGTAGAAAGTTGACCAAAGATGTTATTATGTTTTAAGAGTTTTGAATGCTGTTTTTACTTGTTTTTAATGCATTTTAAAGAGAAATTTAGTATAATTGTGTGTTAATGTTTATACTAAGGATTTTAACAATTGTATTGTGCTTTTAAAATGATGTACATTATTTTGGATTCCCTGCTGGGAGAAAGAAGAGACATTAATCAAAGAAAGATGGGAAGACAGAAAGAAAGAAGTCTGAAATCAATAATAAGGAAGGGTTTCCACAGAGGGATAAAGATTGAATTCACTGATCTGAAATGGCAGGTCAAAATTCTGCCAAGGAACTGCCAGATTGCTGTAATTTATTACACTGCTCTCATGTTGTAAAGTCAAGGAAGGCAAGAACTCAGCCGCACCTATTCCCCCACAAGTTTCTTTGATTTGAGTCAATCTGGCTTCCTGCAGAGATGATCATGACTATGGTGATCGTCATCTCTACCCATCCTTTCTCCCCCTCTGTTTACCCTCGTAAACAATGCCTGTACTACCTAACATTAAAAATGTGCATGTACCTTCAAATTGCCTGTGGACTTATGCTGACCCAATGAATTTTGTAGAGTCTTCAAATCTAGAAGTCTGCTTCTAGCTACTTGGATGTATAGGCATTTGGGCAGGACCAGCATCTCTGCCATTCATTAGAAGATGATGTGCAGAAAAGTGGTCCCCAGACATAATGCCAACTCCATTCCTATGAAATATCTATGAAATATAAAATCTAGCAATCAGCGTCTAGCTATTTCAGTGTGAAAGGTTGGAATTTGGAGAACCCAGCATTTCTGTCATTTTGGAAACTTGCAAGAAGATGCTGGGTAGAAAAGTGGCCCCCAGACCTAATCCACTGCCCATCCCTATTCTTTTTGTAGCAATTATACCTTCCTGTATGCCCATTTACGTGCATTGGTATCATTCAACAGCACTCTCTGCTACAACTAACAAGTGCAGAAGTTAACAAGTCATGAACTCAGGCTACTATTTGCTCAGTCTGAGGTCTTCATTTGCCACACATGGTTACAATCATTGTCCTATCTCTCATGATTATTAATTTAATGTGAAATATGTTTCCAACTCTTGAAATGCTGAGTAATGTTGATATGGACTCCAAGATGTCATTAGAGGTCAGGGTGTGCTTTCTTTTTGTTTCCAACCATCAGTCCACCCAAAAGTGAAGAGTTAGTCTGGGCAAATTTAGTTTGGTAGATTTGCTGGTTTATACAAGGATTAATGTGGGTATTATATAGTTTTTGTCCATGACAAAAACAGAAAACAGAAAGACATTACAAGCTAAGACTGCATTTTAGTCTGTCTGTTTGCAATTACTTTTATCACCATATGCTTTTCTGAGATTGCAATTCTAAGTGATTAACATGCAAAAACTGATAGATAAAATATTTCAAAACAAAACTTCCATATAAGGGGTTCTTCTCATTGTGGTCTTTGTGTCATGGGTTTCTTAGGATTCCAATAAACTGGTAAAAATGTGTGCATCCCATTTCTCTTCTGTCCCCAAATGTAAGAATACCTAAGTGTGCCTTAAGAGGCATTTGAGTATATGAGTTAGTACCTTGATAGGAGACAACCAATGTATACCACATGCTGTGGGCTATCTTTGAGAGGAAGAGACTGGTAAAACCATCTCTGAATATTCCTTGCCTTAGAAAACTTTATGAAACTCATGGGATCACTATTAGTCAACAGGTGACTTGAAGGTGTGTGTGCAGAGGTATATTTTAAGTGAAATTTATCAGGCAAACTTACCTTTTCATTGTTGTAATAACAAAGGCTGTCACCATCAAATTTCACCCAGCGCTTCTGAAACATATGCTTTCTGAAAAAGGAGAATAAAACCCTTCTTTGTATCTCAAAGATATAAGAGGCCCTGTTGGATAAAACCAAAGGCCTGTCTAATCCACTATTTCACTCTCACAGTTCAACAACATTCTTAGGGGTGTGACCATGAGTAGATCTTGAGTGCTGAAGCATGCTACCAGGTCCAGATATACACAAACCTGCAGATAGGCTTTAATCCTGTGCACACTGACTTGGGAGTAGGCACCACTGAATGCAGTGGAACTTTATCTAGAGTAAATGTATATAGTATTAGTCCCTAATTTTGGTTCATTTTTCCCATTCACTAACTATTCAATCCCATGTATACACAGAGAAAGGGGAAACAATCAAGGCAAATCCCATCTCTGGGGAAACTACAGGAGGCACATAATGCAACTCAACAGATTTACATGGGGTGTGGTGCTTTCCAGCTGTTAACTACAATTCTCATACATCCTTTTCAGTAACCACACTGGAGAAGCAAAATTCCCAAGCAGCTAAACTTTCCCAATCCAATTTATAAAAGTTCTATTAAGGAATGATGTACATTTTTTATAACATACCCCTGAGGAGATAGTTTATCCAGCCAGCCTTCTTTAACTTTCTTTGGTGTTGGTCCATAAAAACAAGCATAGGGTGATATTGAGTCTCTAGAGTTAGTGGCTGATTCATCACTGCCAACATGCCGAGGGACATGAATCTCTTCTTTTGCACTGAAGTCCAAATGCCCACCTTTCAACTCTCCGAGGCCTTGCGATGCCTTATATTTTCCTCGCCGTGCATACCAAGTATATCTTTTCACAGAAGAGTATTCCAATTCACCGGCAAATCTTTTTAGTGAGGCAGATTTATCTTCTTGGGTCAACAATTCACTGTGTGCTACATCATCAGAGATTTTCTGGGTTTGATTATTATTGATAGCACTGAAAAGAATGAAACGAAAAGTGATGCTACCCCCACTGCTCAATCATGATCTTTGCAATAGGGCAGTAAATTGAAGCAATTGACATACAACAGCAAAATATCTTGTACGTGTGTCATAAACCGGAAAAGTCTATTCAATGAACTGAAGACCATCATACATTTTATGCATCAAGGATATAGTAATTGCAGGTGGTGCAAACATTCATGACAATATATTTTAAAAACACCTGAGCAGTATTTCTTGCATTCACAGCTAAAGCAATTCATAAGTACCAACATCAGCATTTTCCTCTCACATATTCAAGAGGGAATGTAACTGGGATTACTATCGCTGTGCCTACTGTGAACATGACCATGTGTATATATCGTCTTCTACATTTCTTTTCTTTTCTGCTTAACTCTGCTTTGGGATATTTCTAGCTCAGTCTCAACACAACCATAAATTCACTATGTAGGTGGAAGAAAGCTGCTCTCCTTTGCTCACCCTTCCTCAACACTCATACACAAAATAAAAAGTGTATAATTGGGCCTCCTTCACAGGATTGTTTTTTTAATAAATTTTTATTTGAGAAAAAATACAGTTCTATAGACATATACTATACATTTCCCTTTCTTTTATTTACATTCACCCCTGTGCTTCCCTTCTCCAGAGCCATCTTTTCTTCTAAAGTCCCACCAAAAGTTCAATTCTTCATCTGAAGGTAAATCCCCATCTTCTTTTCCCAATACTTTTTCTAGAAATTTTCTCCAAATACTTTCAAAGTAACTTGTTTACATAATCCTTTCTTTACCTGTAAGTTTGATGTTAGCTTATCATTCAATGCCATTTTCCAGACTTCTTTATACCATTCATTAATCTGTATTTTCATTTCCCCTTCCAATATTTTGCAATTAATAATCTAGCTGCTGTTAATAGAATGTCTATTAAATTTTTCCCTCTTATCTTTCCCATCCTCTTTTTTTAATTAAAAGTAATATTTCTACTGGATTCCTCCTAATTTTTAATCTATAGTATTTTCTATTTTCATTATAACCAATTCCCAAAAATCTTTTACATATTTTTACACAAAAAGTGTATAATCGGGCCTCCTTCACGGGATTGTTGTAAGTTGTCAATAGCGGTCCATTGGATATTTCCAACCTTACGGCTTTCACTGGTGAGGGATTATGGGAGCTGAATAATATGGATGACCAAAGGGGTCTACCCTGGTATAAGATTTACTGTGAACGTAGATGCAAAGTACTGTGTGTTTCATAAATGCTAACTACTACTATCAATTTTAAATGCATGCCTGGAAAGCAACAGGGTCAAATGAAATGTTGCTTTTCTCTACTTTTTGCCTTGTAAACACTTACTTCTGTTCCTAGGGATATTTACTCTAATACAGGTCTAGCTGTGCTCAGTAGAAATTGCTTCCTTGTAAGTGTGCTCAAGAGGACTGGGACTTTATACAGGGAAATTGGGAGAAAGACAGCCAAAGATATTGGTCTTTGCAGTGGGAAGATATTAATCTGAAATATACAACTAGCAGAGTTCCTTTGAGCCAGCCTTTCTGCTGCACAATTTTCGTCCAACTGTTTTGTTATTAAAGATGTGCATCTTGGGTCATTTTATCCTTGCTTCACTACACACAACTTAAAAGATATGAATAGGGGAAAAATAATATTGAAGCCAGTCCTACTCCTTGTTTGAACATTGGAAGCTACCTGTAATTATGGCAGGTCATTTGTCTATCTACTTCATTATCTTCTACTCTGGTCAGCTGCAATTCTCTAGAATAAGGCTAGGGAAATGGTTCCCTTCTGCTCAATTTCAATTCCATCAGCCATAGCCAGCTCAAAGAAGAAGTCATTCATTTATATCTAAGTTGCCAAAGGTTTCTACCCCTGGCTCTAGATTCAAGTGGAGTTCATCCTGGACTTGCATCTGTCATAATGGTGACTTATTTTTATCTGGTTCTCTAATGGTAACATAATTTGATAGTCATCGGTTTTCTGCTAAGTAATATGAGTGTTAATGCTTATATTTAGAGACAACATAACATATGATATTCAGAAAATACTCATCCAGTTCAAAGAGAAACATGGGGGGGGGGGGCTTAGGCTAGGAAATCATAGTCCCTCAGAAAAGCTTGCCCCCAAGTGCCATCTAGGGGAATGAAGAGCATTTTCACCATGTTTTGGGCTTCTCTTGGTTACTGTAGTCCTAGGAGAGTCCGTTAATTTAGCAACCTCAGTTTTTAGGAAAAAGCCTAAAAATAAAATGGGTCAAATATGCATTTTATATCTCCTAGAAGGTATTTGAGGGCAAAAAAATAGGGAAGTAAATTAAATATCTGTCTGATGGTGGGGCGGGATGGGGTGGGGCGGAGGCTAAAGACTGGTAAAAGCTGGAGTGTCTAAAAGTGATAAAGGAGACAGCTCTGTGGCATCTAATCCCCATTGACAATTTGGAGTATCCAAGGAAAAAGGGGGGGGCTCGTGATAATCACTATTTAAGAAGAATTTAAAGGTAGGATCCTGCTCCACTTGAAGACAGGAAGTGGGAAGAAGATCTGCAACACTTCCTAAAACCCTTTTTAAAACTTGAGCTTCTAAGGCTAAGAACTAGAATTTTAAGAATTCAAAATATATAACTTATCACTGAGCTCAGGCTTTAGCCCTATCGGACTACTTTCATACTGAGAAGCATTGTTTTAATGCCAACTACCCTAAAATCACCAGATACCATCAAAGCATGCAAGGCTTCCAATGAATACCCAGTGCTGTAGGCTATATTTCAGAGGATGAAAATGACAAAAACACAAGTGAGTGTGCCTTGTCTAAGAAAACCCTTTGAAATTTGAAGGGTCACCATAAGTCAACAAGCACCCTGAAGGCAAATGTGAAAGACAAGGAGTTGGATGAAAATAACGGGCCTGTTTAATAATGTGTTCAAGGTACACAGTATCAACAGGCAAAAATGTTAACTTTGACATCCCACATCTACATACAGTGTCCTAATCTGATTTTAATGAGACATTGGCCATATATTCTTGAAGTCCTTTCTTTGTGATCAGAGCAAGGATTTAAAAGTTACTGAATGTCACATGCCTATCAACAGCAGCTCAAGAACCAATCATCCTGATATTGGTAATATCGGCAGAGTGTTGACCTACATTAATGGGATGTGCCCTATATAAAAATTACACAATGGAAAAACTAAGTTCTGTTGCATTTCTCCAAATCTCATCTGCATTCCTAAACCTTTGCCACCACTGATTAAAGAGTTTCTACATATTCTTTAACTGTACACACATGTAGCTACTTACATTGTCAAAATTCATTCATGATTTCATGAAACATAATATAACCTCAGAGACTTGGGAATTCCTGAGGGAAGATGTGGCTTTTGCCCTGCAGTGAATCTCAGCAGGTAGAAAATAAGCAATTTCAGCTAGAATCCCAAAAGCCCCACATTTAATTTCCAAACCTACTAACTACATGGAGTACTAACACAGGTAAGTGCTTTGTTCATGGCAATTTTCTCATGTAAGATTAGGTCTTTGAATCTAGTAAAAAGAATCGTAAACATACATTTTATATAGAAGGGCATTCTAGAAGAAAAAAGGAGCATTAGGTAGTATTTCTCTTAAATGGCAATTATTCATTATTATTATTATTATTATTATTATTATTATTATTATTATTATTATTATTTGAAACACAACAAGATTAGTACAAAGCAAACAAGATCACTATGCTGGCTGTTGTATTGGATCACACGTCGGACACTTCCCAAGTGTATTATTATTATTATTATTATTATTATTATTATTATTATTATTATTATTAGAACAGCTTCCAACAATATACAGTCTGTTTCAAAGATCAAATTCTGAGTTTGAAACATGCCATATCCTTGTTGGATGCTAGGCATGTACATTTAAGAGTTTATACCGTGTTTTGCTCAGAAGATTATCCCTTTGAGTGATTTCTTCATCCCTGTTTTTTTCTTGGATGTCTGTAAGTTCTTTGTCACCGATTTCCTGGAAAAAAGAGATCCCAAAACAGATAGTTTTCAGCATTTCATTCCTGGAAAACTGGTAAGGCTTTAAAACCTTGCAATCTTGCTGCTGTCCAATCTGCAAAACGAATTATCCAGTGCATTCACTTCTTATAAAATATTCTTTACAAGAGTTCTTAATTCTAACAATACTGCACAGTGTAAAGTTTTTGCTCTATCCAATGTGAAAAAAAAATCTGAAACAACACAAACTGAAGTGTTCAACAAGGCTTAGTTTGCAGATTGCAAGAAATATCCTCCCACACAATGTTCTGAGAAAAATGGCTCCTTTTTAAATAAATGCATTTCTGGGATATTTGTTTTAATTTATGGATTTCAATCATGTGAGCCTCTTAGCTAAATTAGCTTCTTGCTGATGGTAGCAATGGAGATGTCTACTTTCCTGTTCTCCATTCTCCTCAAAAACTGGCTCTAAGAGTTTTCAAGGTCTTCTAAGCCAGTTCTTGATAGTGGATCAAAAATATAGTTTTTCTGAATTCTGTTTTTCTACAAATGGAAGTCCAATATTTTATCCTAACCCCTATCTGCAATCTCAAGGGGCACAGTTCAGAAAACGGATCTACCAGCTGAACTCCCCCAAGGCCCCTTTACACTACACAATAACGGCACTATGTTTCTAACTTTAACTGGCATAACTGCATCTTATGGCAATCTGTGGTTTATAGCTTTGTAAGGCAAGTGTCCATTGGCAGATAATTCTTCCCTAAACTACAAGTCCCAAGATTCCATCTGATATTGGCATTGGCTGTGAAAGTGGAATCATGGCATCATATTTGCGTAATGTTAAAGAGCCCTTGAGCTACAGAACAAAATGGAAACTACTTTTTGACTCTGGTGCTAGAATGATGTGCCTCCCTCATTACAGAGTCCAAGAATGCTCAACTTGTACCCAACTCATTTTCTTCAAAACTACCTTCCTAACTAAGTTTTTTTAATCCACCCTTATATTTAAGTAAATTAGTAAAGGTAAAGGTTTTTCCCTGACATTAAGTCCAGCTGTGTCCGACTCTGCGGGGTAGTGCTCATCTCCATTTCTAAGCCGAAGAGCATTTCCGTAGACACCTCCAAGGTCATGTGGCCGGCATGACTGCATGGAGCAACGTTACCTTCTCGTCAGAGCAGTACCTATTGATCTACTCACATTTACATGTTTTCGAACTGCTAGGTTGGCAGAAGCTGGGACTAACAGTGGGAGCTCATGCCGCTCACCAGATTCGAACCTGTGACCTTTCAATCCACAAGTTCAGCAGCTCAGCGGTTTAACCCACTGAGCCAGTGGGGTCTCCTTCAGTAAATTACATATCATTAAATGTTGAATACATATATTGGAAGAACTCACAAAGAGTAGCCAGAAAGACACTTCTCATCTTTCAGATTATTTCTACTAAGACAAAATATTCAGTGATGGAGGCGAAATGTCTATTTCTGGTGTTCAGTATGAAATCAAAAGGGTTACTATGTATAAATGCTATAAAATATAGTGCCTTGCTTATCACAGCAGGAAATATAAAAAAGGAACTGTTCTCCACCGGGTCTCAAATCAGCTATGAAGACTCCAGTAATTTGCTATTTCATATTTCCATTTTCTACTCAGGTGTTAAGACTTCCCCACTAGATAGTTCTGCAGATACACAAACCTCCGCACAAGGGAAAGCCCCAACAAAACAGCTAAGTTCATGCCCAGTTTTATTGTGTAAAACCACAAGTCACCACAATGAAATAAAGAGGAAGTGAAAAGAATACAAGCCCAGGGCTTCTAGCTTCCTCCTAAAATAGGCTGTCATGTTCTAGTTTTCATTTTGATGGGCCTCTAAGAACCACTTTAATTAGAAATGGAATACACAAAATGAAAAATATGCACATTAGCAATTTCAGCAGCATCTGTTCAATTCACTTTATACAAAGCAGTTCATACCCTGGCTGGTGTCATTAAGAAAGGAGTGGTTATTTTCCTTATCTAGAAATCTTTCTTTAAAAGGAAAAATAACCTATCTTCTGGTAAACATGCCAGTCAAATCAATTGTATATTACAAAGTGGCAAATTATTTCTCTCTGCTACTTTATATCGAGTCACAGTCAAGTAATAGGATTAAACTTATACTCCCTCCTGACTAGGTAAAGATAAAGGTTTTCCCCTGACATTAAGTCCAGTCCATGCAGTCATACTGGCCACATGACAGTGGAGGCATCTATGGACAATGCCGGCTCTTCGGCTTAGAAATGGAGATGAGCAGCAACCCCCAGATGCCTCCACTGTCATGTGGCCAGTATGACTGCATGGAGTGCCATGACCTTCCCGCAGAAACGTTACCTATTGTTCTTCTCACATTTGCATGCTTTCGAACTGCTAAGTTGGCTGGGGCTAACAGTGGGAGCTTATGCCACTCCCCAGATTCGAACTTGCAACCTTTTGATCAGCAAGTTCAGCAGCTCAGCGCTTTAACCAGATGCGCCACCGGGAGCTCCCGTCCTGACTAGTGATAGAATCAAATACCTAAACAATGTTGATATATATTTTCTGTTGAAACTTCCACAATATGATGTGAACTGAGCAATTGTATTAATTTTAAGGGTTTATACTTGCTAGCTATTGCAAGAATTCCTTCAGGGCTAAGATTTTTGAGAAAGGCTGTTCTAGACCAATAAAGATGTTTCTCCACCTTTTATTCTTCCCATGAGTCCTCTTCTCAACCTTCCAAAGTTAGATCAGAACTCTTACCACCATGTCTTAGAATAGACTTCCCGTAATAAAGCTTACTATGTGTGTTTGTAAGTTGACTTCATATGTATAGGTCATGTTATGAAGCCAAAATAATAGATTTCGATACGATTTATGGATAAGTCAAGGGTCATTTGATAGAGAGAGAAGAATTCCACTGCTGTCTCAGAGGACCTCCCGGCCCTGCCGTTTATTCACCCAGGCATTCAAAAGGACTAGAAGAAGAACCATGGTGGTGAAAGTAGAGTGAGTCAGTTCCCCTTTTTTTTTTGTAAGATGACTTACATTGGCCATAGATAGGTCAACCCAGCTTTTGGGGGTCAATTTGTTTGATTAAAATGTCTAGATTTATACATGAGTACTGGAGTTGGATAGGTTCGTTTGACTTCCAAAGCAGTTTTGGACCATGCAGGAAAGGTGAGGGGGAAATCTGAATTTGAATCACTTACATTTTATTTTTCGGAAATATTATATAATGTTTGGGTGTTTCACAACCATTAAGCAACTTTGATAAAGGTAAGGGAATTTTTAAAATTGCATCCCTTCCATGCCATGGGTGATGCAAGGAAGGAAGCGGTGGGCATGGCTAATCACAGCCATTTTTAACTGTAGTAGTTTGTAAAGGCCAGGCCCCCAATGGTAGAGATTACAAAAGGCCCTGTTGTTAAACTACATTTCCCACACTGCCTTGCTGCTCATTAGCCAGTGGCTGAAAGACCCAAAAATAACTGTCTGTAGCAGTCTTCATCTAAATATAAAATAAACTGATTGAATCTACAAAGGTATCTAAAAAAGGCAGCAAAGCAATAGGCAACTTTTGCAAAGCCAAGAAAACATAAACTGCTTTAAAAAACAATCATTTTACTTTTTCCTGATTGCCATAAATAAGGCACTGGGGTGGCCTGTCACAGCCAGCCAGCCCTTTACAGTCAGTAAGTAATGATAAAATAAAATGATTGATGGCATCTGCAAAAAGGAATAAATAGATTGATGTGTCTTGAGGGTCCCATCCAACTCAGTAGAGGAATCAAATGGATGTCCGGAGAGTTTGGATGGTGCCTTTCTGCCCAGAAGAAGGGGGTCAGTCTAGATGTCCCTTGATGGGGTCTCTACTATGATTTCTGTTCTCCACCAATTTAACACAGTTTGTGCCACACAAACAAAGTGTTTGGAGTAAAACAGCTACCTTCAAAGTAAAGACCACCCAATGAAACAGGAAATAACACATTCAAACCAGGAACAGATTTTCTTTATCATTAAAAACATGATTTTTATAAAAACTTTGAAAATTCATCAAAAATCCATGGAGAAGTCCAAGGTTATGAAATTTGGTGAACTAACAGTGGTCCATGTGTTCTATCACTGTAGCAGTTTCATCAGGATTGGTTTAAAAACGAAGAAGAGAGAATCCTCTGAAGTTTCCCCAGTGCCAGTGCTGCTTTTTTTTTTTCCTACTGTGCATGTGTGTCTGTATTAACAAAGTGATTTGGAATTTTTGGGAGTTTCTATTTAAAAAATAATGGAAGTGACTTTAGAATTGAACCAACAAGGTTTGAACCATTTTTTTGGATCGACCAAGTCTAATGAGTACATACAGAGTTTCTTTCTCCAACTATTTGTTATTGTTTGTTTCTTAAATCAAGATCTCTAATTTCTGCATGCATTCTAATAATGATGACATGATACCCTAGCAACATGCAAATATTCCCTTGCTGTTTCTCTTATACTTTACTATACATTGCTGCTGTCACAATGAAAGACATTACTCTAGGGAATAACAACTCACCGTTTCTTCTGAGCTGTGAATAAGGAAGGTTTCCCCATATGGAGAAATGGGAGCTGCATATTCTTCACCGGGGCCTTCTATATTGAAAGGAATTAAAAATGGGAGCTTCACATATGAATTCAAATATACTAATTCATTTTATTTGACATGTAACAACTTGTAATTCAACATGTATCTTCATTCAGAGAACTGAATCGAAGTTGCTATGTTAACAGCTTCACAGTCTGTGTAGGCACTTATAGCTCAACATCAGATGTCAACATCAAAATACATCAAAGAATATTTTATACTTCATTTCATTTTTAAGTAAAATTCCCAAAGCAGTCCCCAATAATAAATAATGACCATGCTGTGCATACAACCTACCTAGGAAATTCCAGTTTAGTATATCACACTATTCACACTATTTATATTTTTAATTATCAACCCTCATTTTCCAGTTAAATGCAACTAAAAATGCTGTAAACACATCAATACTACCAATGAAAGCAGATGGGTTTTCAAAGACCAGTCTCATGATCCTATATTTAGTTATGCCTCAGTAAGTCCATTTCAATTCATACATTTCTGGAATAAAATGTGGGTACTCTGTGCTAATGCTTTTCAGGTAGCATATGTTTCATTAGAACATGCATCCAAATAAGTCTCACCCTAGCTAAAGTAAACAAAGCAGTAGCTTATATTCAGAATCTGATTCTCTGAGGTTTCTTGAATTATAGTTGCATCTGTTAGCCAGTGCATTTGTAGCTTGTTCTTTATTTATTTTACCTATGTGCCGACTGAACTTCTGGCCTGAAGGTTGGCTGTTTGAATCTATGAGATGGGGTGAGCTCCTGTCTGTCAGCTCCAGCTCATCATGTAGGGACATGAGAAAAGCCTCCCACAAGATGGTAAAACATCCGGGCATCCCCCCTGCAGACAGCCAATTCTCTCACACCAGAAATGATCTCACCCTATGAGGAGTGGCTTAAAGAGCTAGGCATGTTTACCCTACAGAAGACATTTGCAGTTTCTCAAGTCGCTTCTGACACAACAAAAAAATACCTATTGAATTTATACCCCTCTTTCCCCCCCAATATGGTATCTACAACAGTGGTTCTCAAACCTCTTACAGCTGTCTTCGGACGTCACAAACCCTCACCCCATCCCAAGTGGACACAGTATATGAATAAAAATATTTTGTTTGTTTAGTGTGCTGATTGTCATCACTCACCCTCCTTCCTAATACTGAGTAGTCATATTCCCTACCTCCTCTCTTCACTTACATACTCCCCACCCAAGAGACCCATGGTATCTAAAGGACATGCACCTGCATTAAATCACTACTGACCGAGAGGTTATGAGTTTGAAGCCAGCCCGGGTTGGAATGAGCTTCCAGCCATTAGTCTAGCTTGCTGTCAACCTTTGCAGCTCGAAAGACAGTTGCATCTGTCAAGTAGGAAATTTAGGTGCCACTTTATGCAGGGAGGCTAATTTAACTAATTTATGACACCATAAAATCTTCCAACAGCTTGCAGAAGAATGAGGAAGTATTCCATCAAAGGCTTGGAAATCATGAGAGCTGTAGTTTGGTGAGGCACCATCATTATTTGCCAGAGGAGGCTAAAGACTTTGTAAAACTACAACTCCTACGATTCTACAGCATTGAGCCATGGCAGTCGAAACAGTGTCAAGCTGCATTCTTTTAGAACGGTAGTTCTCAACCTGTGGGTCCCCAGATGTTTTGGCCTTCAACTCACAGAAATTCTAACAGCCAGTAAAGGGGCTGGGATTTTTGGGAGGTGTAGGCCAAAACACCTGGGGACCCACAGGTTGAGAACTACTGTTCTAGATGTATTGCATCCTATGTACTGCAGTGTAGGTGCATTGTACTGTTAAATCCAGGAAGGTTTGCTAGGATGTAGACAGATGAAAAGACTATGCCATTTGGCACAGACGAGAACATCCGAAGAACAGGTCATTCCCTGCAAACACATCAGAGACTAACATGGAACAGTGTTTCCAATTTCTTCTACTCTGGCCAGCTCTCCTCCCAACAACCTCTCTTACAGTAGTGGTAAATAATACACTCACTCTACATCAGTGGTTCTCAACCTGGGGTCCCCAGATGTTTTTGGTCTACAACCCAGAAATCTCAGCCAGTTTATCAGATGTTAGGATTTCTGGGAGTTGTAAGCCAAAAACATCTGGGGACCCCAGGTTGAGAACCACTGCTCTACATGTTCTCTAGGGTTAAGGATGCAAGACCCCTTCAAAAGTGGAAAAAATGTGAAAATGCCCACTATTTTTCATCTGAATGAAAATCTCTCTAGGAATAACCCTAAAGGGTTCCAGCCCAGCTTACCTGTCTGAACATATCTCCCTCTACGTACCCCCAAGGACCTTAAGATTGTTTGGAGATGCCCTGCTCTCGGTCCCAACACCATCGCAGTCATGGTTGATAGGAACAAGAAACAGGGCCTTCTCTGTGGTGAACCCTCAGCTGTGAACTCCCTCCCTAATGACATCAGATCTGCCCCCTCCCTCATGACCTTCTGGAAGAAGTTTAAACCCTGGTTATGGGAACAAGCATTCGCAGAATACACGGTTTTAACATATTGTTTTTAACTGACGGCAATGCATTGATTAGAAGACGATGTGAAACGGTGAACTGTTTTAATGTATTTATAATTGTTTTAAATGTAGGTTAAGTTTATATTATGTTATTTTTTATTGTTCGGCACCGAATTGTGCCTGTTGGTAGCCGTCCTGAGTCCCTCTTCAGAAGTGAGAAGGATGGGATAGAAATGCTCCGAATAAATAATAATAAATAATAAATATTTTTTTCTTAAATATAGATTGAAATATATTCATTTCTTGTTACTTTAAAATAATAAGCTGTTTTTCAGAGGGAAGATGCCAGTTAATATTCCATAAATTTTCATAAGACAGATCGCTATTTTAAAAGATTTTTTTTAAAAAAATCATGCAGTTCTTTTAGAAAGGTGTTCGGTGATCTCAAAAACTGTATAATGTCCCAATTTAAAATACAGGTTTTTGAAAGAACAGGCTGAGGAAAAATATATTTGATTGTCAATAATTGACATGCAGACCGCTCCATCTCCTCCTTGCATGGACACACATCTAATAAAGCAATTCAGATTTATGTGCCTCCATAGTCAATCTAGGAATCTAGAGTGTCTGTTCAGGACTGCCTATCATTCTGCAAGAATGACAGCATGCTGAAAATCTACAAGAGACCAAAGTCAGCTTTTATACATAGCATATGAATATGTATACAAATATGATGAAACTAGTGCCATGCATCTTTCAGGCTTACGCTCTTCATTTACTGCTTCCAGGCTTTCTCTAGGCCGTCTGCTTCACACATAGCTCTCTTTTACCACTATAAATTCAGTTAGGAGAAAGAAAACACATTGCTGCTCATGGTTCATATACACAACATCTTCCTGCCATGGTTCGGTGAGTCACAGGGCCATGCTGTGAAACCACTCAGGGCTACAGGGCTGCATGAAAACTACGGTATAAGGAACGTTTTAATGAGCTCATAAATTCTAAACCACAATTTCCAAGTGTCATTTTGTGACTACCGGGTCACTGAACCAAGAACAGGGCAATGCTGTTTCAGACACTACTACACTATCCTTTGACTTAGTATGCTAAGGGTGACCCATACTTAAATTTTGAAAAAATGGTTAGAGCTATTTTAGTCAATAGTTTCATCACAATATTTTCCTTTTTCTTCCCAGTCGTACTATCATATAAATTGAAACTCATTATTCCATGGAGGGGAAAGAACCAGAAAGTTCCTAACCATACATTTTCTAGACAAAAGGCTTTGAAATCTAAACATTAAGAGAATCAAACGGAAGGCCAAAAATAAAAACCACAGCCTTCAAAGCACTTTTGCGGTTTCCAAGGTGCAAGGGGGGAAAAAAGGAAGAAGGGGAGGCAGGGGGAGAAGTCTGTTTCATGGTTTTGAAAAGGCCTGCAGCTGACAGCGGGGCTATTTTGCACAGCACAAAATGTGCCCAGACATGTGGAGGTACGCCTTTAAAAAGAGCATGCTAAAGTTCAGTCCAAGTGGATAAGCAACTCTGTTTATCTGCCTTCTCAGAGGTAGGCTGAATGCTATTAACTCTTCTTAATCCTATTAGCCATGAAATACTACAGGTAGCACCCAAAGAGCCATAAAACTATTTAGGTACACTCGGGAGGGATTCTGACTTGTTTCTTTCCCCCAAGCTGTGTGGAAAACCAGTTCAGAAAGGAAATAGCTAAACAGTTTGTCAAACAGTATTTGGGAAGGAGTAGGTTGCTGAAGAAGTGCTTAATGAACAATGCCAGAGAGAATTATTCAAAGAAGGAACATACAATGAATGGATCTAACAAAGTGGAACAACCTACTGAGATAGCCATTACTGTCAATCGGTTTGGGAAGGAGCCTCCAGTGGCGTAATGAGTTAAACCCTTGTGCTGACAGGACTGAAGACCGACAGGTCGGAGGTTCGAATCTGGGGAGAGCGTGGATGAGCTCTCTCTGTCAGCTCTAGCTCCCCATGCGGGGACATGAGAGAAGCTTCCCAAAAAGATGGTAAAACATCAAAAAAAACATCCAGGTGTCCTCCAGGCAACTTCCTTGCAGACAGCCAATTATCTCACATCAGAAGCGACTTGCAGTTTCTCAAGTCGCTCCGGACACACACAAAAAATCAATTTAGGGCAGAGAAACCTTTTTTGATCAAGTAACTACCTCTATTCAACCTGGTATTTTTAAAGACTTCTGGTGGTTTTCAAATGACAGATTACTGTTGCTGGTAGTATCATATTTATTGTAATTTTTAATTCGATAGTTAGCTATAAAAATTTCCCCTCAATATAAGTCTAGTCGTGTCCGACTCTAGGAGTTGGTGCACATCTCCATTTCTAAACCTCCAAGGTCATGTGCCATTACCTTACCGCTGGAGTGGTACCTATTGATCTACTCACATTTGCATGTTTTCGAATTGCTAGGTTGGCAGAAGCTGGGGCTAATAGAGGGAGCTCACCCTGCTCCCCAGATTTGAACCACTGACCTTTTCATCAGCAAGTTCAGCAGCTCAGCAGTTTAACCCATGTGCCACCATATAATGAACATTCTTAGTTATGTATTAGCTATTAGTTATGTAGATATTAGCCACAGGCAATCCATGGTTCTAAATGGTTCTAAAGTACTTACAAAACTAGAGGGTGCTGGTCCTTTGCTTCTAAAGTGTTGCTAAAGTTCTCATGGTAAAAATTTCAGAACTCGAACAAAACTTTCAAATTTTCATTATTATTTCATTATTAGTTATTTTTATGAACGAACAAATCAAGAACTGCCATTTATAACGAAATTTTAAAAGTTTTGGTAGAGTTCTGAAATTTCCACCACCAGAACTTTTGCAACATTTTAGAAGCAAAGCTCCAGTGCCTCCTAGTTTTGTAAGTACTTTAGAACCATTTAGAACCATGGATGGCCCATGCCTAGTAGATATCATTCTTCTAGGCCAATTATCTAAAACTCCAATATGATGCAAGATATTAGAGATCTGCCTGTAAATTCACATTACTAATCTGTAAAAAAAATAATGAAAATGACTCATTCCGTCCTCTCATGTTTATCCTCCCAACAACCCTAAGGGATAGTTCAGCCTAAAAAGAGTAGGTGGTCTAACATCACCCAGAGTTTTATGGCTCAGAAGGAAATTAAACCGGATCCTCCCAAGTTCAAGCCCAATATTTTGCAAATCATGCCTGCAAGTTTTGCGAGAGCAACAGATATATTTGACAAATAAAGAGTGCATTAGAAGCGTGCCATTCGATTGCGGAATGTAAATGAAGAATCAGCAGGGTTTTCTTGTACTGTCACGGAGTTGGCTTTTGAGGTCCCTTCTTGTCCAATGAAATTAATTCAAGGAGTATCTCTCACTTTTTTTCTGTCAGTCATTTTGATACACATAAGCATACTCCTACGCATCCTAGTCTAGAAGGCACACTTCCATTTTAATTTTTTCAAACGCCAAGTTTGTTCTTAAAACATTCTCCAATTGTCCCGTCTTTCTTTCACTTGACTGAAACTCTAATTAGATGTGACAGAGCTATGACTTGCATGTTAGAATGCCAGTCATGCAGAACAAGTTTAAAGCAAGGTGTGGGAGGTGATTTAAAATGAAGCAATGATGGTTAAGGAGGAGGTGTTAAGCTCTTCCTCCCCACCCTAGCTTTTCTCCTGAATTTTCATCTTGAGGCTGAATAAAAACAGTTGGAAGCTTGAGAGAGGAACATTGCAGGCCGGGAAATAGTTCAGTATGCAGTCTTTCTACATATGGAAATGCCTCCCACTTCTGTCACTACATTTCTTTCTCGGTGGCACACAAGTCCTATCTACTGTCACATACGCTTAAGGCATTATGCTAACCATGCCCTTAACTAGCAATCATTTTGAATGGCAATCACTATTAAAAGTTCAAATAGTTCTAACATAAGAAAGGAAACATTGCTCAGTGGTTTTTTGAAAGTGGGGCACAAAGTAACACCTCAGAATATACAAATGACTTGTACATCCTGTTCCCAGATGTCGTTCCCATAGTAAAAGCTGCTCATCTCTTCCACAAGGAAATGCATCGGACACTCCAACATTTAGTATTCCCCCAACATAATAATAATAATAGGTAAAGGTTTCCCCTGACATTAAGTCTAGTTGTGCCCGATTCTGAGGGGTGGTGCTCATCTCCATTTCTAAGCTGAAGAGCCAGTGTTGGCTGTAGACACCTCCAAGGTCATGCGGCCAGCATGACTGCATGGAGTGCCATTCCCTCCCCACGGAGTGGTACCTATTGATCTACTCACATTTACATGTTTTAAACTGCTAGGTTGGCAGAAGCTGGGCCTAACAGTGGGAGCTCACCCCACTCCATGGATTCAAACCACCAACCACCAGCAAGTTCAGCAGCTTAGCAGTTTAACTTGCTGTGCCATCAGGGGGCTTAATAATAAATAATATAATATAATATACAATACATAAAAAGAAGTAAAGGCATTTCCCATCTTTTTCTGGCATCTGGAGGCTGTGCTTGACTCCAGTAACTTGGGGGGCAGAGGGGGGACGCTCGCTCTATCTTCCATGCTGAGGAGCTTGTTGTCATCTGTAGATGTCCTACTGATGTCCTCATGGTCGCTTTTATCACCTACCCCCTTAAAGCAGTACCTATTTATCTACTCATATATCTGTTATCATTTTGCCAGGTGGGCAGAAGCTGGGGCTGGTGGTCGGGTGCTCACCCTGACCCGGGCTTGAACTGCCAACCTTCTGATTGGCACGATTTTCTGCAGCTTCACAGTTTAATCCGCTATGCTAAGCCCAGCCCGCAAACATAGTATTCCTCTTTTTCCCAAGGAAGGAGAGGGAAGTTATCTATAATGCTCTCTTTACTTGGAAACTTTTGCAGCATTCACAGACCCTGTTTTTGTATCACGGTCAGATATGTGTAAAAGTAAATCTAGCACTTTCTTCAAATAAGAGAGCTTTTACTTAAAAAACGTACCAATTCCACATCTATAAGAATCTTTAGTTACTGTTTATTACATCCTCCAATCACTCTGGGTTTTCCAAATAATGACTAGAATAACAGCTTTGGCTCCCCCACTCTAAACACCAGACATATGCATTCGGGGAAAACCTTGTCTCGTTTTGTGCCCCAGCTTTTTTTGAGGGCCCCAATCCATTTGTGTAAGCCTCCTGAAATTGGGAGGGTTGTTTTCGGTTCTTTTGTTTTGGGGCCTGAAAATTGGACCATTATGGGGGGGGGGAGGCTTCCCACCCACTGGCTCCCCTTCCCGGAGTGCATTCTTCTCACCTGCAACCTGCTGTTTCTACTCTGAAGTAAGCTGTAGGCACTGGCAGGCACCTCTGCTTTCCAGGCCTGCCTGCATGCCCACCACACACACACTCTTTCCAAGGCAAGGAGGTAAGTTGATTGAGGGCTTGCCCTCCTGCTTCCCAGGTCACCCCATTGCCCATCCCCACATCTGGTTCTTGGAAGGAAGACAGCAAGGGAGGAAGACAGCAAGGAAGGAGGAGGAAGAAGAGAAGAAGTCAGGTGCATCCCGGAGTATGCCTGCAGGCTCCACCACACACGCACTCTCTTTCCAAGGCAAGGAAGCAAGTTCAGATGCACACAAAAGCATGCTATAGGCAGGTTTCAATGTTGAGCAGATTTCTGTGTAGGGAGGGGGTGTCCTCTTTCGTGCTTCCGGATAAATGAAAGACACGAAAGAAACAGTAGAAACAGTAGGAACAAATTTCACGCACATGTCTAGTACACACATCAATAGTTCTGTATAATCTATGGTTAGCTATATTCAACTCACTTTTTTGTGAAATATGACTGTCTGAAGAGTGGACATTGAAACCATTCATGTTCCTTCTTTCTTGGAGGGAGCTGGAAAGATACAAAAGGAGGAAAGTAAGACTTACTGTACATCCTGTTCCCAGATGTCGTTCCCATAGTAAAAGCTGCTCATCTCTTCCACAAGGAAATACATCGGACACTCCAACGTTTAGAATTTCCCCAACATAATAATAATAGGTAAAGGTTTCCCCTGACATTAAGTCTAGTCACGTCCGACTCTTGAGGGGTGGTGCTCATCTCCATTTCTAAGCTGAAGAGCCAGTGTTGGCCGTAGACACCTCCAAGGTAAAATGTATTTACCTAGTCTTACATAACTTAAAATACTGCATATAGACTAAGCATCTGCTTAAAAGGCAGAATATTTTACTTGTAACACAGTCTTCCTGCCTTTTTTTCTTTCACAATATTTTCACCGAGAATATTCCACTTAATTATTATAACAACTAATTTGAAATCAAAATAGAATTGCTTGACACAATAATCAGGGATACAAATGCATATCTGGGTTTTTTTTAAAAATGAACAATAGCATACCTATTGCTAAGTATAGATAGTTTGACACTTGAGCAAGGTAGCAGGTTCCAAAGTGAATACACAGGTTCCTAACCTATGGTCATCCAGGTATTTTAGACTTCCACTCCCAAAATTCCTGACAGTTGGCTAAGCTGGCTGGGACTTCTAGGAGTTGAAGTCCCAAAATGCTTGGAAGACCCAGGTTTGGAAATCACCGGTCTAACAAAAACATTCAGGAGCACCCATTCAGCAGCAGAAAATTCATTAGTTTCTTGAATGAGAGCAGTACAGACTTATGTTAGGAAACTTCTAAAATTTGGGAATATCCAACACCACCCCAAACATGCTGTGTTATTTTTCAATTAGAAACAATCACATGCTAAAATACAGACAAGTTTAATCTGTTCTGATCAACAGTATATTCAAAATAAGGAATCTGTGTATATCAAAACAGACAGATTGTTTTCCCAAGCATATTGTCTGGCATATGAAATATGGAAACATAAGGAAACCACCTCTATGTTGTCCTTAAATCATAAGAGGAAGTGCTAGGTAAATGTTAAAATTAACTTTGAATACACACAAGTTGTCAAACAATATTCAGAACTCCAAGTTTCTTTACATTAAAAAATAAGTATAAACTTGTTTACATGCTCAAGAGAACATAATCAGCAACAGCAGCATCTGAGTTAACATGTAAATGCTTGATGTTCTCCTTTGCATCAGACAAAATCAGTCTTGTACATTTCACTTTGCTATTACCATGTCCATATTGTAGATGAGCCTTTTGGTATTATTATTTTGATATTATTAATATTCACTTTGTTATTGTGCAGTTTGGACATCCTGTGGCCCTTAGGCAAACCTATCACTGGGGTTTCATGGAAAGATTTGATCAGAGAGAGTTTGCCATTGTCTTTTTCTGTGGGTGAGAGTAACTTGTCTAAGATCACTCAGTGGGTTTCTGTGACTCAGAAGAGATTCCATTCCTGGTCTCTCAGAATCCTAGTCCAATACTCAGACTCCTATACCATGCTGGCTCTTAAAGTTTACTGATACCCCCACACTTTCCCAAAATTTGGGTTCAAACAGGCTTACAACTTAAAACAAAGACAATATAGTTAAAACAGGAAAAATGTTTTCTTTGACATCTTTTTTATGCTAAAAGACTATAAACCACAGATGAGAGACACTTTTAGACTGAGTATCCTTATCCAAAATACTTGGGACCAGAAGTGTTTTAAATTTCAGGTTTCTTTTTCATTTACATTTCATATGTGATAAGATATCCTGGAGATGAGACCAATGACTAAATTGCCCCCATTAAATTCACTTGTGTTCCTAATTCAACTTGTACACCTAGCCTAAAGGTAATTTTATACACAATATTTTAAATCTCGTTTTCACATGAAACAAAGTTTGTGTACTTTGTACCACCAGAAACCAACAGAGTCACTAATTCAGCAACCCACATCGACAATTTTGGGGCATTTCAGATTTCAAAATGTCAAAGGATGCTCAACTTCTATGCTTTTCGAAGAAAGCAAGTCAGGAATTTTAATACATAGATGTACTACTTTTTGCCTGTCTTTTTATGTGACTCAATCCAATTGTGGTGAGACCAGTTAGAATACATTAACCAGAAAATACCGTGGACACACACAAAAGTGCTTTTAGGTCACTTTCACCACCCTTCAACCAATTCTGATCTTCTAAACCAATGTTTCTCAACCTTCTTAATGCCACAACTCCTAATACAGTTCCTTGTGTTGTGGTGACCCCCAACCATAAAATTATTTTCAATGCAGCTTCATAACTGTAATTTGGCTACTGTTATTAATCATAATGTAAATATCTGATATGCAGAATGTATTTTCATTCACTGGACCAAATTTGGCACAAATGTATTTAACATAATTATTATTTACTTTATTTGTACCCCGCTAGCATCTCCCGCAGGATTCGATGCGGCTTACAATAGGCCGAAGCCCAACACAAAACAACAATACAATATCTAGCAAGTAAAACAGTTAAGCAGAAAAAACAATAACAATAGCAATACGATAAGACAATATTAAAAACTGGGTCGGCCAGAGTGGGGTACAAGGTTAAAAAGTGCTGATGTGTCGGAGGAGTATGGGATTATGATATAAGTGCAGTGTGCGGTGATTTTGGTACTAAAGTGCTTCTAGGACTTGGTGCTGGAGATTCCTAATCTGAAAAGGCACATCGGAACAGCCAGGTTTTCAAATTTTTCTGAAGACTGCCAATGTAGGGGCCTGTCTGAGATCTTTCGGGAGGGCGTTCCAAAGTCGGGGGGCCACCACAGAGAAGGCCCTGTCTCGCGTCCCCACCAAGCGCGCTTGTGACGCGGGCGGGATCACGAGCAGGGCCTCCCCAGATGACCGGAGTGAGCGTGTGGGTTCGTAGACAGCGATGCGGTCACGCAGGTAGGGTGGTCCCAAACCGTTCAGAATACTGGTGGGGTTAGGGGGGGTTGATTTTGTCATTTGGGAGTTGTAGTTGCTGAGTTTTATAACTCACCTACAATCAAAGAGCATTCTGAACTCAACTAACTATGGAATTGAACCAAACTTAGCACACAGAACGCCCGTGACCAACAGAAAATACGGGAAGGGTTTAGTTGGCACTGACCTTTAGTTTTGGAGTCATAGTTCACCTACATCCAGAGAGCACTGTGGACTCAAACAATAATGGTTCTGGATCAAACTTGGCAAAAATTCTCAATATGCCCAAAGGTGAACACTGGTGGAGTTTGGGGAAAACAGACCTTGACATTTGTAGTTGTTGTTGCTGGAATTTATATCAAAGAGAATTCTAAACCCCACCAATGATAGAATTGGGCCAAACTTCCCACACAGGACCCCCATGACCAACAGAAAATACTGTGTTTTCTGATGGTCTTTGGCAACCCCTCTGACACCCCCTGGTGACCCCTCCCCCAGGAGTCCCAACCCCTAGGTTGAGAAACGCTGTTCTAAACCACGTAAACATCCATTGCTTTTATCTGTTCCCTTTTGCTGCACAAAGTATGATTTTCTTAAAATTGGATTCTATCTGTGGAAGCTTTCCCTGTAATATCTCCATGGGTAAATCTAGGTTCTAAATCATGGAGAGAGCTCCTATGAATAGAAGAGGTTTATAAGCCCTATATTTACGTATTATAAAGCCTGACTCAAGTAAACAAGTGAGGGAAAGTATTCCAGCTCCATTCCACTCTCAGTACACATTACCCTCCATCTGTGGAATACATCATGTTGAAAAGGAGAATCTCTTCTATGTGTGGAAGCTTTCAAGGTTATTGAGAACACTAGAAAATAAGTGTTCTTTTGCTGTGAGTTGTTTGCATGGATGCTTCTGAAAAAGCTTTGTTGGAAGTTGGCACAAATGTAGAACTTCCCATAGCTTGTATTTTCTTTATTATATACCACTAGTCCTCCATCTTCAGTCCTCCTTTCCCAAAAAAGTTCCACCCATACTCTTCCATAACTAAATCATTCAATCAGACCCAGAACTGAACTTGATAAAGACCCAATGCAATATGTAACTGAAGAAAATAATACGTCTGCTCCAAATTTTCCTTACTCAGTTAAGAAGTCAGAAGTAGGTCTAAGGATGATGTTATGCAACAGTTTCTGTTGCTAAAGGGGCATGGTTGACATTTCCTGACAATCTAACTAAAAGCACTTTGAGGATAGCTAGAATGCAGGGAACGTCACACAGAGATAAGCTGGTTACTCTCCAAATCCCTTTATATTTTAGGTCAGAACTACAGGGAAAGAAGAACTATAAAGCCTGGGGGAAGAACTACTGGTTGTTCAAAATTGTGGGAGTTGAAGTCCAAAACATCTGGAGGACCAAAGTTTGCCCATGCCTGAACTAAATGGTAAAGCATAGATTTTACATGAAAAAGTTCCTGGTTCAGTTCAATGCCCAGCATCACAAGCAGAAAAACCCAGAATATCACTAGCCTAGCAGTATAGATCAGGAATGAATAAATCCCAAAATGATTTGGAGGAAAAAAAACTTTCAAACTTCCAATAGAAGCAACTAGTTCAGGTTTCTATTAGCAATAGCTAAGCACAAAAGAATTTGGCAGCTCTAAGAAATAAATGGGGTTAAGGGGAAATAAATTGGTCTGTGCATAAAAGTACGATGAGTTTTTCATGAGTAATCTTGAAAAATACAGCTCCCTGTAGAGGCTGGTGGTTTCCTTGTAAGGGATGTAGTAAATCTGTTCTGGGTTTAATTTAAGATGCTATTCAAAGGAATAAATGCTATTTTCAAAATAGTTTCAGCCCCGTGGATCATATGCTTAAGTGAGCCTAACATTGTTAATTTCTTTTACCTTCCAATGGCTCAGGAAACCTTAAGAAGACATTCATTTGATGGTAGCCTCCTTTTGCTGCTTTTTCAGAAAATTATTATTTGTGTGTGATAAATAACCACCATGTCAGACTACACAGAGAAGCCATTGAAATCCACAAGCATGTGGA